CGAGTTCCGAGTTCCGGGACCCCCGAACCCCGAAACCCGGCAGTCCACAATTTCGAGGTTCGGGAGTTGGTAAAATTTGTATGGATAGATGAAAGGTTGATTTAAACATTTTTGAAAGATGTCCCATATGAAATGTCAAGTCCCAAGTTTTGATTTCCGGCTTTCTGGAGTCCCGAGTCCCGAAGCCCGAAGTCCCGACACCCGGAGTCCCGAAACCCGGAGTTCAAAATTCGGGACTTAACATTTCATATGGGACATCTTTCAAAAATGTTTAAATCAACCTTTCATCTGTCCATACACATTTTACCAACTCCCGAACCTTGAAATTGTGGACTGCCGGGTTTCGGGGTTCGGGGGTCCCGGAACTCGGAACTCGGAACTTGGGAAATTTGGGGAGATCAATAAAATATACTTTACAATCGAGTTGATTGACGGACACATTGACTTACCCGTGTATGAAATATATTTTTGTCTCACATACCGAGTTCCGAGTTCCGGGACCCCCGAACCCCGAAACCCGACACCCGGCAGTCCACAATTTCGGGTTTCGGGGGTTGGTAAATCTCGGTTTGGGGTTTTGCACTGAAAAGTTGACATTTATACGTATCCAGGCTCACCCATATATGTACCCATCTATGTACAATTCCCCCACGTCAGCCCACCCATCTATGTATTATCCCCCACGTCGGCCCACCCGTCTATGTAATACATCCTATGTTGGCCCACCCGTCTATATAATACATACTACGTCGGCCCACCCGTCTATATAATACATACTACGTCGGCCCACCCGTCTATATAATTATACCCCACCTCGGCCCACCTGTCTATGTAATAAATATTTTATCACACCCTCGGCCCACCCGTCTATGTAATACATCCTATGTTGGCCCACCCGTCTATATAATACATACTACGTCGGCCCACCCGTCTATATAATTATACCCCACCTTGGCCCACCTGTCTATGTAATAAATATTTTATCACACCCTCGGCCCACCCGTCTATTTGATATCCCTTTCGTCGGCCCACCCGTATATGTAATACTTTTTATGTCGGCCCACCTGTATATGTAATACACCCCGCGTCAGCCCACCCATCTATGTAATATTCCCCTACCTCGGCCCACCCATATATGTAATACACCCCTGTCGGCCCACCCGTCTATATAACAATATTTGCCTTACATCTCTCTTCAGCCCAGCTGTCTATAATATCCTACTCTACATATTACCCTGATGGGCCCACCCATCTCCATGAATGATCATATTCCCCCGGCCCATCCGTCAACATCAAGGATATATATATCATTGGCATACATGGGCCCACCCGTCTCCATCGGAAATAATATGTGTCCCGGCCCATCCGTCATCATCGAGAATATACACAACATGGGCCCATAATCCGCTGGCCCGTCTCATACGGGATATTATGTAGGTCGGGTGGCCCGTATAATACGGAATTTGTCACTGAAGGGGCTCGATAGAGTACGGTTAGCATTTATCTTCGACCTCACCAACCTTCCCACTCCTATTCGCCTCGGTGCTGCATCCTTACCATCATTTCATACTCTTGGTATATATATTCAGCTGCTCCCCCCTATCGCCGCCCTGAGCAGTGTGTCTATTTACCCGCCTACATCCTTCCTCAATCCCTTGGCGACTCCTATAGTACCCAACTCGCAAAACATTCTGGACTCTGTGCTCAAGACGAAATCGAACATTTTGCCAGTTGTGTCTTCCTTTCTGGAACAGTGGGCGTTTTCGCCGAGTGCCGTCGATGTTCTGAAGACTCTCGAATATGTTGTAAGTTTTGTTATCGATGCTGTGACAATGAATGACTCGCGTTGATACCAATGCAGATCTATGGTGGCGGTCCTCTCGCGCCTAAGGCGGGAAATACACTGGTGAATGCAGGGGTCAAGCTTTCTTCTGGATACGGCGCTACAGAGTTTGGTGTCAACACTTGTACTATCCGAAATTCGGTCGATCTAAAGTTTTGGGACTGGGTGCGATTCGGACCAAATTCGAAGATCAGATGGGCTCCACAGGACGATGGTACATATGAATGTCAAGTTTTGGTGCGTCTACGAGTCGATCTTTGAACACGCGTCAAACACTTTTTTGCAGACAACCCCGACGCATCAAGTGTCAGTGGAGAATCTTCCGGACGTCAAGGGTTATGCTACCTCAGATGTATTCATCAAGCACCCGACCATGGAGGGTCTGTGGAAGATGTACGACTGAATTTTGCGTTATTCATTTTCTCTGACATTTTCCTTGCAGCGTAGGAAGGATTGACGACGTTTTGATACTCTCGTCCGGGGAGAAGACAGTACCAGCTCCCATGGAAAGCATCGTCTGCGCCAACCCCTCCGTCAGCGGCGCCGTCATGTTTGGCCGTGGACGCAATCAACTTGGGATCCTCATAGAGCCACGAGCAGGGTGTGAAATTGACGTTAATGACGAAAAACAAATTGCCAAGTTCAGGAACCGAGTGTGGTAAGTCCCTCAAAATATCGCATGCTACTGTTGTGTCTGAAGATGTTTTTGGAGGCCGGACATTGAGGAAGCGAATAAGGAGGCTCCTGCCTTCAGCAGGATCTTCAAGGAAATGATTCTTGTGACACACAGTGAGAAGCCCATGCTTCGAGCTGCAAAAGGGACCGTCATCAAGAAAGCAACCGTCAAGCTGTATGAGGAGGAGATCAATGCCCTGTGAGCATAGTACCCATTCGTCACTCTGTTAACTAGAATCCATGGGCAACAGATATGAAAAGGTCGAGGGCAGCACTAGAATAGGTATCGACATACCTTTGCCTACAAGCTGGACTGCGGAAGACATCGAGGGATGGCTCAAGGTCCACGCTGCTGCTGTGAACGCCAACAAGGAAGTTGATCCTGATGCGGACCTTTTTACTCAGGGCTTTGACAGGTGGGTTGAGACTGACAAAGGCTAGCGCTCTGCTTACTCCGCACATCTAGTCTCTCTGCGACATTTCTCAAAAACCGCATTATCGGCTCTCTCCGCTCGTCTTCAGATCGCGACCTTCAGGCATCAGCATCGCGGATTGACCAGAACATCGTGTTTTCAAGTCCTTCGATTCGGCAGCTCTCGAGAAGCGTCATTAATGCAGTATTGCAGCGAAATGGTATGACTACCGTCGACATCAAGGCTGATATCGAGAACATGATCGAGAGGTATTCAGTCGGATTAGGGAACTCTGTCACAAAGCCCAACACCACTCTAGTCAATGGGTGCAGCCACAGCGATCATGTGGTCGCCCTGACCGGGTCTACGGGTGGTCTTGGCTCATACCTGCTTGCAGATCTACTCCAGCGTGAGGACGTGTCTGTGGTATATGCCTTCAATCGCCCGTCAAAGGGGACATCCATACAACAACGACAGGAAAACTCGTTCAAAGATCGTGGTTTAGATTCTACCGTGCTTCAATCCGACAAACTAGAGTATATAGAAACTGATACATCTGACAACCACCTAGGTCTGGATAAGGAGTTATATCAAAAGGTTTGCGTCATTTCCAGTGTCACCGAATCAACTAAAGATGGCGTAGATCTGCACGTCTGTCACTATCATCGTTCACAACGCTTGGCGACTCGACTTCAACCTGGCGCTCTCGTCATTCGACACTCATGTGCGGGGAATGCGGAATCTCATAGACTTGGCACTATCTTCTCCGCATCATCCAAAGCCGTGTTTCATGTTCGCATCTTCCATCTCTTCTGCTCAAAGTTGGGATAAAGCGAAAGGACCATTCCCTGAAGAAGTGGAATACGACGCAGGGGTCGCAGTAGGTCTTGGCTACGGCGCGAGCAAATATGTTTCGGAAAGGGTAAGTCACAAGCTACTTTGGGGGGCACGGATTCTACTAATACTGTTTCCATCAAGGTTCTCGTCAACAGCAAGTTACCGGCATCATCATTCAGAATTGGGCAAGTATCGGGAGGACCCCCGCGAGGAGCTTGGACCACGACAAACTGGCTACCGATCATCGTCAAATCAAGTATCAGTCTAGGCGCGCTTCCCGAAGCTAAAGGAGTAAGTCCATCACTATCGAGGGTATCTATTCGTGACACGCGTGTTTTAGTTTGTATCTTGGATCCCTCCCCACGCCGTATCAAATGCTATCCTGGATGTAGCTTTCTCGGAAGAAGAACCTCCCATCGCAGTGAATCTGGTGCATCCGAGACCGACCGCATGGAAGATGTTGATGCAGCCCATTGTGGACGCCCTGGTTGAGCGTAAAGCAACAAGTTACCCGCTACCTCTTGTGCCATTCTCAAAGTGGCTTGAAAAGCTCGAATTGAGCACCAAAGACTTGAGCGAAGAGACCATGGAACGCATCGTACATGTATCTCAATAGCTGGCCCGAACACTTCCAATCTATTCTTCGATTACAGCCTGCCATCAAGCTTCTCAACTTCATACATTCCATGACTCAATCAGACATCGCGATCAGGGCGTCCGGAGAGATGGGCTCCGAAGCGGGTGGCATGGCTTTATTCACCACTGCCGTAGCCGAACGCGTCAGTCCAACGATGAAGGAACTGAAGTCGCTATCCTCGGCAGATGCGGCACAGTGGGTGGATTATTGGGAGGCAATGGGGATGTTTCAATGAACAGATGGGTAAGTCTTGAGGTTATGACGCAGGGTATGAGGTGATTATGCTAGAAATGGTATCTCTGTCTATTGAACTCTGTCATTAGCCCTACTCGATCATGATTTCATTTCATGACAGTTCAAGACCATGCAACTAGATTGGTACACAGAAACAGGACTATTAACCTAAAACTAGGATAGATCCAGTGTAAACGCAAACTTGAAGATAGATTGTGATGAATCATGATGGCAGGCATGTACAGTAGTAGGGAATACCGCAGGGACTAAGTGGCAGTACGCCACATTGATATTTTGACTCTCAACCTGCGACCCTATGAGACAGTTTAGCAGGAAATTGATGGGAGATGACACTGCGCACAGGACTATGGACACAAACATTACAAAGTTCGTGTAGACGGATCATCGCTGGCGAGCGCCAGAAAGTTGTCTTGTTCGTGGTCAAGAGGTTTTTGCCGTCCTACTACTCAGGTAAGTCACTGGCAGAGGCAAATATTTAAATTCAGCATTGCTGCTTATCTAAGCTAACCGAGGCACGAGGTTAGCAAAGATTTAAGTCTACGTGCGAATAAGTGAGGTGGCGCAGAGCTTCTTGCTTCTGCCCACCTCGCGGCACTCTCTGTTTATTCTCAACGTTAACAATTATTCTAATTCTTTTGCATTCCCGCGCCTAGTATTTACCCTTATACAACGATGGAAGACCCCAATGAAGCCATTAGGCCTAATTTCGCTTCCGAGGAGTATCACGACGCACGTCAGCAGCTAATTGAAGATGGCATCACCGCAGAGCAAGCCACCCGTTCTTTGGCGGCGCTGTGGACTATCAACAACAACGCTGACAAGGAACATTGGGCTCTCAAGCAGCGTCAAGAACGACTTGCACGCCAAAGAGAAGAAGACGAAGAAGAAGAACGGTTGCAACAACTCAAAGATGAACAGGAAGCCGCTCGCCTGGAGGAAAGGAAAAAGAACAAGAACAAATACGCACCGCTCGTGCGAGGAAAGGTTCCGTCCGATCCAACTATCCTTCCTGCCCAATACGCGACGCGCAAGCTGAAAGCCGGCGACTACTGCGAACTCCACTACTTCACCAACAATGGACTGGATGAAGCCAAAGCATCCAGCTTGATAGCAGAACCGGACGCGCTGGTCATGCTCCCATCCGCGGATGGTCTGCATTCCTGGGTGCCGGCCGCAGCGGTAAAAGATCCCAAAGCCGCACCAGTGGTCAAAGACGAAAAACTCACATGGGAAGAATTCAATGAGGCCGCCCCCCGAATGATTTCTATGATGAAAGTACACGATTGGCCGGAAGACCGCTGTAGAGACTCGTGCCTCGCATTGTGTGATATGGCACTTTCCACTAGGGAGTACACAGCACGACTTGCAGCATCACTCTGTGTGCTATCCACAGCTATTCCCTTACGAGGCGCAGCTTTCCCACGCAATGCGCAGCATGCGCGCATGACTTCCCGCGCTTGACTTCCCGCGCTTTACGATGTATACGCGCGCGCGCTTTCCCGCGCTTGAGCGCCCTATAGCGCCAGCCATCCAGAAGCATCCATCCACTGTCCACCAAGCTCTCTAGTGCGTATATTCCCATTTCTCTTATTTACATATCGTTCCACCTCTATTTTTACCATGGACCCTTACTTACATATATCTTTACATACCTACTCGGTAGCGCTTCGGCTCCGCATGACAGCGCTTAGGCGCCATATAAGCGCCAGCAGTACATATTATTAGACACTTAACTTTTCCAACTTAGACTCTACCTCCCACTTACCACCCACTTACCACCTAGAGAATATAGTTGCAATCTATTCTTTGACACCTCGCGCTCGTATCTCTTGTTATTCATCTAATCACCACTTAAGCAAACTCACACTTACTCTCACTTGTCTCCGCTCACGCGCACTTCCTGCGCCTCGCGCGTACCTTCGCTTTCCCGCGCCTCGCGCGCACCTGCGCGCTTTCTCGCGCTTCGCATTGGCCGACCAGTAGCGCCTTCAGCGCCTACTTCTAGAACCTTGCTGCACTCGCTTCCCCTTTAGGGTCGAACGTACTTGTCTTCTCAAGAATAGCAGACTAGGCAACGCGCGACCTCACAACATTATAGATACAATTTGGAGCATTCATTTGTTCCTCTCAGTATTGTTGTTTCTACACCGCATTCTAATGCATGTGCAGTTTTGGTCTGCGCTTCAGTCGCACCGCTGGCGCCACAACCCAGACATCCTCAAGCAAAAGGCGCTACTCCTCTACCAGTCGCAACAACGACGGCGCTGGCACCTTACCATCGGATCGTCTCAGAGCTGGAGCTTAGAGGAAATCAACCAAGACTTATTATTTGAAGCGAGGGAAGAGCTTTTCAACGAGAAAAGAGAGAAAGAAACTGCAGCAGCCATTCAGGTCAGCCTTCAATTGTTCCTTTCTTTGTCTATGACAAGCGCTCATCTTTCCTCGCATCATACCGCCCTTCAACGTTTACCCAAACTCTCGGGACTTCCCTTGCACGCATGGCTTCACCTGTCGGCCATCACGCGCCGACACGGGGGAACATCCATCACTCGCGCACTGACTATCTTTGTCGCATAAAATCGCATCACGCATGGATATTGCATCCTAACAACGTCGGACATCATGTTCCGCACATTGACACCCCTCGCAATCACTGCGATGTGTCCTCATCGGGTGATCACCACCTTTACCATATCAACATGCATCGCGCGTCCGCTATGAACGCGTATCGAATCCTGCAGCAAGCAGCATCAGCATTCGTATCGGCTAACCAAAGCCTCCTGCGGCCTCAAGCCGCGGGACAGCCTCAACCGTCCGCACCAGCGCAGAAGCGCCCTTTCGCGCATACGGAGGAACTGTCAGGCAGCAGCAAAAAGGTGCGAATCTCTCGCCCTCCACCTGCCACAGGACCATTACCGTGCTGCGCAGTATGCTTGGGTAGACACCCGCATCGTACCGTCGAATGCGCAGCCACACAAACCTGGGACAAGCAATTCGAGACTTTCGCTGAGCGGATCTGCAAGGGCCTTTGGACGAAGGACGGGAAGCAAATCTGCACTGGATGGCAACGAGATGAGGGTTGTTCCACCCCCAGACACGACGCTCGTCACATATGCTCCGGGTGCGGAGCTGCCACACACGGCACCCAGAAATGTCCTAGAGCGCAGAAAGCTAGCTCCATTGACACCGTATAAAGCAGAAGCATGGGAACGGGAACTGCGCAACGCAGGAGCCCTGGATCGTTTTGCCAAAGTACCGGAAGGCCTCAGAGTAGGTTTCAAAGTAGACTTTCCTGTCATCTCGAATGTACAAACTCCGCCGAATAGAGATTCAGTTGTTGAATTTTCAAACGAGTTTAAGAGCATCGTTCAAAAAGAATTAGCCAAGGGCCGATACGTTGGACCTTTCTCAGCCGCATCACTAGAAAGCCTAATAGGCCCTTTTCAGTCCTCGCCTATGTCCATCATCCCCAAACCAGGGAAACCAGGGAAGTTCAGACTAATTCAAAACTTTTCCTTCCCGCATTCTGCAAACGAGTCCTTCCCTAATCCATCAGTAAATTCTTGCATCGACGCAAACAATTTCCCCGCAACGTGGGGGAAATTTTCGGTGGTCTATCGGCTGATCGCAAGTCTTCCCCCGGGATCCGAAGCGGCAACCCGCGACGTTGCGGAAGCTTATCGAACGGTGCCATTGCATCCATCACAATGGCCCGCAGGTGTCGTTCTGATTTCAGACACGCAATTCTGTGTGGACACTTGCGCAGCGTTCGGAGCCGCGCCTTCAGCAGGAGCATATGGACATGTCGCGGACGCCAGGGCCGAAATATTCCGAAACAGAGGCATTGGCCCACTAGATAAGTGGGTCGATGACCACTTGTTTCTCAGAGTCAGACGTGAGCACTTAGAGCAGTATAACCGCTTCAGGAAAGAATGGAACGAAGCATTCGCATGCGAAGGCATGCGACAGTCAGGAGGCCGCCTATGGTTCGGTGACATATGCCCAGACAACAGAACTCTAGAAGAGTTAAGCGAAGATTGTTCTAAGCCTTTGCAGGATCACTCACACCGATCGCCGAGGTCTGAGCATGACAAACTCTTTGCTTTCTGCATGCAAGACATCGACGAGACTTCTGAAGACTTAGGTTTGATCTGGGAGCGACTAAAGGACCAGCTATTCGCCGTATCCACGATTTACATAGGATTCAGCTGGAACATCGAACTAAGAATCGTTTCGCTAAGTTCAATCAAGGTGGACAAGTACCTAGCCGCAATACACAAATGGAGAAAGCGCCACGCACACGTCCTACAAGACGTACAAGAACTCTACGGTAAATTATTACATGCATGCGCAGCTGCTCCCCGAGGCCGGGCCTACCTAACAAGCCTTGAGGAGATGATATCCTACTGTGGGAAGAAGCCCTTCCTCCCGCATCGAGCGGGAGGAAACGTTGAAAACGATCTCACCTGGTGGTCTCTACTCCTGCAATCAGGTGGAGTTGCCCGACCGATTTATCCCGCAATCAAACTAGAAGACCCTCTAGCTTTTTCGGACGCGAGTTCAGGCATAGGAATCGGGATAGTGGTCGGAAATCGTTGGAGAGCCTGGAGATTAGTTCCTGGGTGGAAAACGAGAGATGGCAAAAGGGACATCGGGTGGGCAGAAGCCGTTGCATTTGAGCTCCTTGTATACACTATCACCCTTATCCCTAGCATTGGCAAGCACGTACTCGTGCACGGGGACAACATGGGAGTCATTGAAGGCTGGTGGAATCGCAGACACAGGAATTGCGCCGTCAATGGAGTCTTCCGAAGGATCAATCAATTCATTCACGATCTACCCTACACTCTCGACATCGTCACTACTTACGTCGCAAGTGCCCACAATCCCGCGGACAACCCATCCAGGGGGATATTCGGCTCAACAGAGCTTCTTCTTCCCGCAATCCGCCTTCCAGCAGAACTTGACAGTTTCCTCGTCGACGCCACTGAAGTTCTCTCCACCACAGAGCTTCGGCTCCTGCGAGACGGACACTACTCCGCTCCGGCAGCCAAATTCATCAATCGAGAACTCGTTAGGCAACAAGCGCAGGAGAGAGCCAGAGCCAGCAGAGCCGAGGAAGAGCATCTCATCAGCAGAGCGCTTCGAGAAGAATAGCGGCTCAAAGAACTCACGTTTCGGAGCTGCCCTGCAAACCACTAACTCATCATCTATCTCTTTCCCATCGCGTTATAAACCAAATTTAACCCCGAATCCATCTGAATTGCGCCCGCACTGTCTGGCTCGAGACCGCTTGAGATTGTGGGTACCAGCGGGACGCAGCACCAGGCAAAATTCAGTACATAGCACAGATGTACCTAATCACGAAGTTTCAGATGCGCAATTAGAGCGCATTCTGGAAGTCATTGGATCAGCTTGGGCGCAGTCAACAAAGGAAACATACGGTGCGGGCTTACTTGTCTTCCACGTGTTCTGCGATACGAACAGCATTGAGGAGGACAAGCGCTGCCCCATAGCACGCAATCTACTCCTCGATTTCCTATGCAGTTGCGCAGGATCCTACTCGGGCTCAGCTTTAGCAAATTACACCGCCGGACTGAGAGCTTGGCACCTCCTCCACGGAAGGGAATGGCAAATTCCCCCCAAAGAGCTCAAGGCAGTCTTGGACGGGGCAACAGCGTCAGCACCGGCAGGATCCAAACAACAGAAACGGTTACCTTTCACCATAGATTCCCTAATCGCTATACGCAACCAACTGAATCTAAACGCGCCTCTCGACGCAGCAGTTTTTGCGTGCCTCACCACAACGTTTTACGCAGTAGCGAGGTTAGGGGAATTTACTGTAGGCGCCATTAGAGAATACGATCCCAAGAAGCACATACCAAGAGATGGAGTCTCGGAATCCGCAGATCGTAACGGCTTGCCAGTAACAAAGTTCTTCCTGCCAAGCACGAAGGTCTCTCCGATAGAGGGAGAAGTAGCGTGCTGGGCTGCACAGGAAGGGTTGACAGACCCTAGAGCAGCGTTAGACAACCATTTGCGGGTAAACCCAGCAGAAGGAAAAGCCCACCTCTTTGCCTGGAAGCACACGAAAGGTTTGAGACCGCTATCGAAGAAGGAATTCATCAAAAGATTGGGAATAGCAGCTGCGGCAGCCAAACTCCCAGACCTGAAAGGTCATGGCCTACGCATAGGCGGAACTCTAGAATATCTCCTGTGGGGTATACCTTTTGAAGTCGTTAAAACCATGGGCAGATGGTCCAGTGACGCATTTGCAGTCCCGACAGTACTAATCACCAAATCGCCTTTCACTTCCGTACATATTACAACATCTTTCATCGTCCGTCTCAGGCTGGGTCCACTGTATTTGGCTTCATGCACTTGTGCTTGTGCGTTTTTTCTCAGATCTATCCAACGGGTCACGGAGCTAACCATACCCGCGTGTTTGCCACAGATCGGTGTTTCCTCGACAATGCAAAGACATTTCCATCAGTGGTATGTTGATTATTGCGATGCTCGATGATATATTGCTTGAGATACCAACATTAGATCTATTCACAGGTTCATTGGTGCCGTGAAGTTTGAACAGCGCAAGGTCGGGAACACTTTTCTGTTTCTCGGAAGTTGAGGTCACCTTTGACCGAGGTCGAAAGAAGGGTAGCCTATTCGGTTTGCAAGGTTACCGCCACTGCCACACACATTTTGGCGAACTTTTATGTTGGTTAGTATTTAGTGTTTGTCACAGCACGTCAGGCTATATAACTGTAGGCTGCTGGATCAAAACTGAGCAAACAATCAGACCATGTTGTCTCAAGCCCTGGATAGTGGTCGTCGTATCAGCGGGTACATCATGACGCTATTTTTGTTCACAAAGTCCGACGTGTTCACAGTTCTTATCCCAATCGTGCGTGTCTCTACTACATGTTGCTTGTATATCCCTTGTCATTCAAACTTTGTTCATTAGACTTTATCTACCTTCGCAGCTGCTTCCCATCCCGATATAAATCACATTCCGGACATCATCATGTGGATATGGCTGCACCTCCTGAAACATGATATATATAATCAGATGCTGGATCCAGAGGAGGACCAGAAAAACAAGCCTTATCGCCCTCTCCCTGCCGGTCATATAACTGCCCAAAATGCGGCGGATGTACACTGGCTGCTAGTGCCAGTCTGCCTGATATTTTCTGCGATGTACGGCATCAAGGCTTTCGCTTGTAGCGCTTGTATAGAGGCCCTCAGCATCTGGTACAATGAGTTTGGTGGCGATAAGACTGGGCTTTCGAAGAACCTATTGACGGCTATTGCATATACAAATTTTGAATTAGGCGCGATGGCCGTGATTGGTATGTGGACTATCCCAGAGATCATAAGCAAGCTTTGTCGTTGACTGGCGTTTATATTTCAATAACCAGGGTCCAGTATTGATAACATTGGAGCATGTGCAGTCGCCTTCAGCTCTGTAGTGTTCGCAACGACACTTCATGCACAAGATTTCAAAGATGAGGAGGGAGATCGATTGACGGGAAGACGCACTCTTGTCACTCTGTTCCCTACCTTTGCGCGTATGTCCATGATGATTGGCACCCCCCTTTGGTCATTCTACCTTAGCAGACTTTGGAAGGTAGATCTCGTCTGTTCTCTCGCGTTCGTAGCGTACGGAACGATTGTCGGGGCGAGATTCGTGGTTTATAGGACCGCGAGTGCGCACAAACAGTCGTGCAAACTGTATAGCGTCAGTAATCTCGAGTCTAAAAATTCTACCTACTGACTCATGTCTGTAGCTCTGGTTTACCCTTGTGCACTTACTCCCTGGCTATTGGCGATTCTTCTACAGCACTTGAAATCAGAAGCCCAGTGCAAGTTGCACAGGTAGTAGTGTATTATATTACGAAGGAGATACTTATAATAGTAGTAAAGATGGCTTCGCCTCTAGCGATGGACACACGCTGCATCAGACACTTCAGCGATTCTGACTCTGTATGCCTTGTTTCCGATTCTTTCTTTTCCTTCATTATTTCACATTCTCACACCTTTCCTTCTACTCGTTCACTGCTTTGTTTGATTATCGTCTCATTCCCCTTTCGCACTTATACCAACGCCTTTCCATTTCACGTCTCACTATTCGCGCTTTGACAGCGCTTAGATCTCATCGCATGTAAAAACCGCATGTGTGTCTTCATATCTTTAGTGATTCAATCTCACTCAGAATCAATGTTTCGAGATGGTGATGAAGGTGTCTTCATGTCTATTGTACACGATTGGAGGTCTTGTTGAGCTGTACGGATGGGCTAGAGGTGACACGACCCAGACACATCGGGGACTACGTGCGTGACGACCTTCAGTACTAGAGCGGGTCCCACAGTTGGGCCTTAGGAGTATTGGGGCGTCCAAATACAGCATGCATGACATCATATCCGCAAAGGAGAACCCGTTCTTCAATGGTATCACTTCATTCTATTACGACGAAGCCGAGACCATTGAAAGACGAGGCCTCAAAATTTGCAACATTGCTACTGGATTCTTGAGCGTTGCTGTATCCCCTGATAGTTGTCGTGCTGCAAGCTCAGGGACAAATGAGTGATCTGGAGTCGAGAAAAGGTGAGCAAGAGAAGACGAACGTTAGCAGGCGTCACCCAGTCCCGTCATTAATGGCAGATCATCACGCTTCTACTATGGACAGAAGTCAACTGATGGTTAAGAGCAGAACTAGGGGGGAGTGCACGAACCGTGTCAAGTATGTGACCAACTAAGGTCCTGCCTACCCTTGCTTCATCGGGTAAGTGAAAAACAAAGAGAGAATGTCCATGTTTTTAGGGTTGTGCTTAGTACCGGTATATGGAGGACTCTCACAGGCACCGTAGGGTCCTGTCATCATCGTCACATCCAGATACTAAGCTAACCATGTCCCACAAAGGGTTCCTTAACAGTGTCCGAACGACCAAGCCAAGGTACAGACCTGTGGAGTGCTGATGATGAGCAACTCTGTGATCTCTTTGAAACTGCAAAGGTATCTTTGTGTTTTGCATGAAGATCCCAGGTGGTGACGCTGCGACTCCACTTTTAGACCCTGCCAAATATTGATATCGTCTGGGAGAACATTAACAGCGTCCAAACGGGCATGCGACTAGGTCAAGGTACGGACCTAGAGAATAAAACTTGGGAGAGAAACCCTGAGATCTGTTTAACACTTAGTGACGCCACCTGTCTTGAACGGATGAAAATATATCACTGCAGGTGAGGACATTGCGACTCCAATGAACGCTCGATATCAGGTGCTGCCGAAAGAAGCACTGCGGATAGCAGCAGGTATCGGGGGTACTGCATACGTCTAAAACGAGTTCCAAGTGAACTAAGGACGATTTTTTTTGGGGGGTGCCTTCCATGCGCAGGGAGGGGCGAAGAAGATAGCGCAGAACTGTCAAGGGTACGCGGTCAGCGCGTGTGTTGTGTTATTCAACCAAGATACGGCGCGAACCTGGTAAATGAAAAACACTTCTGCAAGCTGTTCGAACCGCGGTGACACCAACTGTGAGTATCTCCAGACGTACCCTTGGGCCTTTAGAGTGTTTGTCCCGGGTCCTGAGTTTGTCATGCACTGGGAGGGGTAAAGAAACGTACTTGGCAAGGATAAAGACACACCGAAATAAAAGTGCTGGCGTCGATAACAAATCAGATCAGCTGGTGTTGTATAGGGGCAAAGGCGACGTGGCCTTTTGAAATATTTTGGTGCTCCCCGATGCCCTGAGACGAGCACGATCGAGTTGACCGCGACATTGGGAGAAATAGCAGATCAAGCGCCGAGGGATTAGAAAGTTCGAGATGCTTATCACTTGGCTGACTGATAGCTATACAGAAGGCTATGCAAGTAAGAAATGTGGCGGATTTTGAAACTTTCTAAGTAACGTGTCCGGCATAATGTTAAGTGCCCGGGCACTATTTTGGGGCGAATCAACTGCCAGTTCTTTGTGTCGGGGTTTAACTCGTTTGACCTAGTTGAATCATTTAGCGACGCCGGTCAACCTCGTGACTCAGCCTCACGGCTTACACAATTGATGGCCCCTCTTTCGACAGGTATATATGTCTTGATGACGAGTCTGGATTATTCCGTCGTCGCTCAGACTTGCCCTCACATAGCACCGTCTGCTCGTGCACGTCTGCACTTTTAAGCTATATATTTAAATCTTCGATTTGATCATTTCATTCATGTCCACTGAAAATGCCGGTACAACGTCACAAACACAGTCTACTGGAACGACTGGAGCCCCTGGACCATCATCTTCAGGGGATACGTCCCAAACCAACCTTGATGCACAGATTTCATCCCAACAAGTCTTGGCGACGACATGCCTTGCCATCATCGACGACTTCAGACGTTCGCGTATCTCCAAAACTGAGGCAAATGTTGCCCTCATTGAAACCATATCAGATGAGTTATTCGCTACACCGGGACAGCGAGTTTCAAACATTGTTGGACCCTATCTCGACATGCTTAACGAAGTTGAGACAGAGCATGATCAATCTAGATATCATGCAACAAGGGATTCAGGACAGCGCTCGGATGAACCAGCGCTCGATGACGAAGAAGCCCCTTTATCAAAGGTTAGGAGTAGAGCAGGATCTGTTGAGCCAGTGGAGCCCGCTCGCAAACGATCCAAACTCGACTACTCCTCCATTGAAGTCGCAATCAAGAGTAGGAAGTACCAACCTCTGTCACCCAGTCTTGAACGAACCAACGAGATCCTCAAAAACTGGTCTCAGGACCAGAAAGAGGTTCGACGATACCTCATGTACCATAAATACGCTCCCGAGTTCCACAAAGGCGGGTGGACCGAAATCGTTGCGGGAGAGTGTGTCAATCTCGACGTTGTCCACACCATCATTACCTCTTCTCGAGCGGTTGACAAACAAACCGAAACCCTCGGAGGAGTTGAGATTAAATATGGAGTCTCGGAAGCAGCTTCGAGGAAGATCGCCACCGACTCTGATTGGTATGCAGCGTGGAATAAAGCAGCTGACGCCATCAAATTCGCCTTCCCTCATCGAGAGGCTGAGCTCAGCGGATATTTCGCATTCATTTCCAAATACTTCTCGCAGGCTAACGCTTCAGCCCATGGAAGAGTCATTCGTTTCGACAAAGCCGTCAGAAACAGAGTCGGATCATCACGCAGACTTGAACTTACCGACTTCCGTGAATTCGAAGACCTTATCTTCTCGCATTTCAACTCAGACGGCAAACAACGCAATGATTCCACGGACTTCAAAGCCAACATCGGAAGCTCAACCGGATCCAACAGCAAGCGTGACCCATGTCGCAAGTGGAATGCAGGTGAATGCACACGCAGCGCCGCCTCATGCCGATACGCTCACATCTGCTCTTTCGAGCAAGATGGACATGTCTGCGGGCGCAAGCACATTAAAACGAAGCATATCGAAGACTCAAGAGGCAAATGAGTCTGAGAGCTCTTTGAAACGGCCACGTCATCGTAGAGGTTTGATTTGGTCACCGTTGGACGCTAGCTTCAGTCCGACTGCTCGTTCAACGGAATATGCAGAACCCGTTCCCGATGCTCCTCATGCACTCATCAAAAGTGATGGTGCTCAAACTGTTTCATGCAATCCAGAGTTGTTCAAAATCGTTTGTCCTATTGATGTCAACAAATTCCAGTCTCTACTGTCCGAACATCCCAACCAACCTTTCGTCATTTCGGTTTGTCGCGCCCTACGTCAAGGTTTTTGGCCGTGGGCAGATGTTCCGGACGATAACTACCCTTCCATCAACGACAATTCAATGAGAACGTGCCAGAAGACTGGTGAACAATTAGCCTTCATCGAGGGCCAAATGCAAGAAGAGATTCGGCAAGGACGCGTCTCTGAAAGCTTTGGTCGAGAACTCTTGCCTGGAATGTACAGTGTGCCGATGCACACGGTGCCCAAACCCAATACAGATAAACTACGTTTAGTGGTTGATCACACTGCCGGCGAGTACTCTCTCAATTCAATGATTGAGTCGGATTCAATCAAGGGCACTAAGCTTGATGGCTTACATTCACTTGGTGCCTCCCTTCTTCAATATCGCGAGCTCCATCCTGATGACGAGCTCGTCATGTTCAAATCCGACGTGTCACAAGCGTTCCGACGACTACCCATGCATCCTCTCTGGCAAGTTAAGCAAATTCTTACGGTCAATGGAGAGCGTCACGTCGATCGGAACAACAATTTCGGTGGTAGAGGTTCGCCTAAGGTTTGGATATCCTTCATGTCGCTTGTCGCATGGATCGCGATTCATCGGATCCTAATCGATGCGCTGAAGACTTATATGGATGACTCCTTTTCATTTGAACTTGCCTCTAAACGACTTTACTATGAACCTTACCAATGTTTCTTTCCCGCAAAGCAGACTCAGCTCTTACAATTGTGGGATGAAATCGGGCTACCACACGAACGACCAAAACAGCTGTTCGGTTCTCCGCTGACAGTGATTGGTTTCGATGTCGATCCCAACGCAATGTCTGCAACTCTGCCGGAACACAAGAAAGCCGCGCTCGTAACGCACTTGCGTCTTTTCGCGACGAGAGGGTACAGGTGGTCCTTGCGAGAGTTTCAGCAACTCGCAGGTTGGTGTGAGTGGAGCTTCAATGTTTTCCCGCTGCTGAAGCCAGGATTGTCGGCCATATACGCTAAAATCTGTGGGAAAACGGATCCGTTCGGACGACTTCATGTCAATAACTCCATCATCAGCGAGCTTGGTTGGATGGCGGACCATATGGACCGTTCACATGGCCTGCTTTTCTACAAGAGTCTGGACTTCAGTCCACAATGTCAAGACGTCGCTGTCGCATACACTGACGCATCAGGAATTGGTCTAGGACTCTGGTTTCCGGACGAGGACTTCACGTGTCAATGTGCTCTGCCAGAATTCTCGTCATCGGACACTATATACTTTATGGAAGCTTTGGCCGTCTGTTCGGCTATACATGCCATACAGAACATGGCAGAAGTGCCACCACGCATGCTCATCTATACCGACAATCAAAACGTTGTCGCAATGTTCAACACCCTGCGAGCTCAGCCTCCCTATAATCCTATCCTTATCTCGGCAATGGACGTGCTAATCAAGCATGGTGTGGATTTGAGAGTGGAATACGTCAGTGGTCACTTGAACAACGTGGCTGACGCTCTGTCACGATTTCAGAACGAGCGTGTACTCATCTTGGCGCGAAACGCGCAGATATATGATTTTGAACCCCCTCGGGATGCGCTGGGGGTGTTCAAAAAATGATCCCACTCACTTCTACGTCCAGGCAGCCCATTCGGGAAGCCTGGACGGACGAGCGTCTCTTCCGGGAACGCGCGATTGCACTTGGATGTGCTATAGAGTCATCTACAGCGGCCGCTTATGACTCTCACCTAAATTCCTATATCACTTTCTGCCAGCTTCATCATCGTCAAATCGATCCCACACCGGACACACTGTCATACTACGTCGTATGGCTCTCTCACCACTTAGAGCCTCGTTCTGTCGACAACTATCTTTCTGGTATCGCCAATCGTCTCGAATTTATGTATCCTGACGTTCGAGCTGTCCGCCGATGCCCTCTTGTGACTCGCACATTGCGAGGTTGTAAACGTCGTTTGTCCAAACCCGTGCGCCAGAAGTCGCCTCTAGGGCTGGATGATCTCGCGCGGATCGCTCATATTATCAGAAGAGAAGCTAGTGCAGCTTATGACGACACGCTGTTCCTCGCAATGCTGATTACCGGCTTCAAGAGTCTGCAGCGACTCGGAGAGCTCACTTGGCCAGACTCTACCAAACTACAATCTTACAAAAAGGTTTCACTACGCCACACCCTGTCCTACACTAACAACTCATTATCATACACACTTCCTTATCAAAAGAATGATAGCCTGGGAACCGGCTTCAAAATACTGATCACGGCGGAGCCAAACTCGTCCATCGATCCTTTGGCGCACATGCGTCGTTACCTTGACGCAAGAGATGCATCGTTCTTGCACCATCCTGCTCTTTGGGTGACGGAGACCGGGAATGTGCCAACACGATCATGGTTCCTTCGTCGGCTACATCGTTTCTGCGGGGCAGACTTCTCTGGGCATTCCATGCGAGCTGGGGGAGCAACAGCTCTGGCGGCAGAAGGAATGGCTCCAGATCTAATTCGTGCCTCGGGACGCTGGTCTTCAGACGAGTTTAACAAATACATTCGACAGCATCCAGTCATCTTGCACGCACTGATGCACGGCACAGCTCGCGCGCCATAACCAATCCAATCTCGTTCTCTCGCAGTCTCTCGCAGTCTCATTCTCTCGCAATCTCGTTCCCTCGCAAGTCTCTCGCAATCTGTTTTCTCGCACTCTCTTTGGTCTCGTTCTCTCCCAGTCTCGTTTGTTTCGGTGAACATTGGAAAAAATAAAAAATAAAAAATAAAAAACATGGGCCCTTTAGCATTTCCTAGCTCATATCGTTTCTCTCGCATTCGAGAGAAACTCAAAACTCACTTAGTTCTTTCCCTTTCTCTGCGACTCGGAGGTCCCAAACGTTCGTATCCTTTCGATGTACTTGTATTCCGCGAGACTCTGCAATAAAATTGTGACCGAGTCCCCCGAGCATAGAGCTGGGGGACTCCGCTTGCCCTAAACACGACCTCCCACTCAAGCGTAGATTGATTCATCGGGGTTTAACTCGTTTGACCTAGTTGAATCATTTAGCGACGCCGGTCAACCTCGTGACTCAGCCTCACGGCTTACACAATTGATGGCCCCTCTTTCGACAGGTATATATGTCTTGATGACGAGTCTGGATTATTCCGTCGTCGCTCAGACTTGCCCTCACATAGCACCGTCTGCTCGTGCACGTCTGCACTTTTAAGCTACCCTCCCACCATCCCTGTGTACTTATAGTAGCATTTCCTAGCTCATATCGTTTCTCTCGCATTCGAGAGAAACTCAAAACTCACTTAGTTCTTTCCCTTTCTCTGCGACTCGGAGGTCCCAAACGTTCGTATCCTTTCGATGTACTTGTATTCCGCGAGACTCTGCAATAAAATTGTGACCGAGTCCCCCGAGCATAGAGCTGGGGGACTCCGCTTGCCCTAAACACGACCTCCCACTCAAGCGTAGAGCAATTTGCGAGCAGGTTCTGGATTACTCTAATGCACGAAACGCAGGCAGAGTGCGTATCACACAAAACATATCTGTGACCCGCGTTCTGTCAGTGTCTCGTGTCAGCAAGACATGCCTTTGTCGACACACCATGCCAAAGACTTTACAGATTCAGCGACACTAAAAAATATCACTGCGATTGTGAGAAATTATGCAAGAGCCAGCTGCACCAAGTACTTTATGGAACGTGGAGACGGCATACAGAGCTTTGAGGTGCAGATACGAAGGGAATGTGTTCTATGAAGAAAAGAATGCATACTGGTATGGCCAGCTCTGCTGTGCAACGTGCTTCCCGGGGCTGTTCTACTAATGGTAGCGCGTCAGATATTCGTAGGTCTCTGGATCTGGACCCACAACCTGTCCAGCAGGATGAACAGAATCGTGATGCTAGTATAGAGGTTCGTCTTTTTTGCTTGTGCTTTCTACTACAATCACTTATCGTTTCAGTTTATCCCTACAGGTGAACCATTTCGCAGGTTACGACGCCTCTGGAGACGTTCCCGATACAGCGACAACTGTCCGCCCTCTCATCTCACCTCCTCAACATGTGATTCTACAATGATCTCCGTCCCAAGATTACATCTTAATGACAGCAATATTCGCACCCCTAGATGTGGACGAGCGTGTCCTTATGGAGGATGTTTATACACACGTGAAGCGTAATAACCTTTGTCACTTTCTTACGTTTGTCTCGCAGACACAAACAGTCAGTCTAGACGACGAAGACGCCGGGCTGAGCACAGAAGCAATCACACGGCTCAAATTCCCACTGCCGCCGTCAAGCTCTACCTTCCACATTCAGCTTCGGACAAGCATGCACAAGATAATTATCGAGCTTCACGGTTGGGCGCCGGCGTTCAACGCTATGTCTCGCAATGCTGTCGACGTCGTTTTTCGAAATGGCTAGATACAGAGCATACAATCACGCATATCGTTCAAACTAGTGAGTCTTGGCTCATACTGTGAGTTCTTGTACTGATTGTATCCTTGCCAAGGCATGTAATTTTGTGCGTTCCAGGCGTAGGGACATGTACTTCATCACCTTACATCACGACGACCGATCGAACTCGCACTTAGCAGCAGTCAAGACATTAATGAATTCTTAAAAGTAGTTCCGTTCATGAATGATGACTCAACCCACAATGCGGCCTTCGGCACAGAATGCAACCAGCTTATCCCCCACTAGTACTCAGACACGTATGTATATTGCTAAAGAAAGAGATGCGCCACAGAAGACCAACAGCGCAGCAACATAGCATGACGTGGTGGATGCAATAGCCACTGTTTTTTTTCTCTCCAAACACGTCAAGGCTGTCCGAGTTAGGCCAGACCAGGCCCGATGCATCACTACCACCGAGTCGCCTGTTGTTAAAAAGGGATCGACTGTGCCAGCATGCCATAATTCGTCGTCAGTGGTCACCCTCTACGTGGAAGCCTCAAAACTTATTCGTGCCTCTAGGCTCTGAATGTCTGGTTCTACTCAGTCCAAAGAGACATCAATTTTGCGATGTCTTGTTCTGAAATATGGTCCAAAACGGGTCCTTGTTAAACGGCAAAAGTCGTACAATGTGAGTGAAACAACTATTAAGATCTCTAATGGCTCACAGAAACTATAACTTGCAAGCTCATGTTTAACTCCGCCTGCAGAACTTTCCCAAGCATTTCGAGAGATATACTCACATTTCAGACCAATCAACTCGATGTTTGCGATGGCCACTATGTGGAAATCACGGCTGAAGTATGGAGCGATATCATCGACTTGCTTCACGTCGTTGAGGTGACTCGACGTGTAAAAATGACATTGCCCGTCCCACTGCCGCTTGATGATCAGGCCATTCAATTGCCTGACAATCAATCGGCACCAGGTCAGGTTAACGAACAGGACAGCTCGTACGCATCCCAAATATTCTACAAGTGTTTTCAGTACTGAAGTTCAGACCACATAGGATGAACGATGACGAAGTTTGGGACATTGTCCCAACCCTGCCAGAGCAGGCGCCAGAATCTGACGGCCAAGTTACGATCAAGCTTGTTTTTCTATCTGGCGAGATTAAGACTACCAAAATCTCGAGGGAAATGCAGGTGAACAAGCTTGTTGCTGATATTAGTCAGACATTGGGACGTCATCCCACTTATATCGAAGCAATTTTCGGTGGGGTAAGGATGCATGTGAACCGGAGTATCGGATCGTACAACATCGAGGACGGCGACTCCGTCACTATTCAAGTTCATAATGGCTGTGCGCTTGCCAAAAAGCCAGTCATTTATCTATACTCGCCCTCCGACATCGATGTTTCTGTTAAGCTCTCCCTCATTCCTGAGTGGAGCCTCTCTGTCATCTATCCCGTTGTTACCACAGAAGACCATGGGCGACGTTTAGAATGGAATGTCCGCACCAATCATGATGGCAGTCTGACTGAACACAACTCTGGTTTGAATGTCTCGTACTTGTTCTGGGAGGCAGAGTAAGTCGTCCCCTGATGATACAGAAATCACTCTCCTGACTTGTCTTACTCTTCGCAGGATAAATTCCCACGCATTTCCCGCGCCACCAGCATCCAAACCGCAACCAGTGGATGCATTCAATCCAGTATTCAGCAGTCTTGATGATACGGATTCAATTGTCACTCCAGTGGACAAAGTGACAGTTTACCTCGATAACTCACTCAAAGTTTTGGGACTTCACACCGAAGCTAGAACATCATTCATAACGTGCGTACATATGCGCTACCTCAGGCTGTCAATTCGTAAACACAACACTGAAACTGCCGTGGTACTAGCTACTGGCTACCATCCATCCTTAAGCACGAATACGTTGCCCTCCGATTTGTACCTCAAGCGGCATTCGAACGCGCCGCCTCTTTACACATTTCCCCGCAGCCTGACGTCGTGACTCGGGTATTCATGTTGTTCAAAGGTATCCGTAAGGAGGACTTGGCAAATTGGACCAATGCACGAATTCAAGCAGAGAAAGACGTTGCTTGGTGGGTGAATGTAATTGGAGTTGATCCTGCAAGGGCTGGTGATGTGACTTTGTTCAGGGCGTTGGAATGGGGCGGGATGGAGGTTCTCATTTAATGTTCTATCAGATTATGTATTCAATTTGTGTAGGTGTTATCTTGATTAGTTCTGCATCCGACAAATGTGCAGGTGAACTTATGCACTCGGAAACATTCACTCCTTTCTGAGTCTATGAAGTGTGAATCATCAGCCGGGAACTTGAGCTCTCATGTTTCAAAGACTTGCTAACCGTTCGTACGATTCTTCAAGTAACGCAGTGGCCCTCTTTCTGAGATGCAATCATGCTAACGAGGCATAAATGACTTGCAGCTCGAATGTGACAGTCATTTATTTCAGCATCCCTGAGTTGAAATACACAATCGTTTCTTCTTTTCAAACTCTGCAGATATCTATGTACTACGTAGTGGTTTGCAACATATCCAGAAGTTCCGCCAATTGAACATGAGGACGAGCTGAAATACTACAAGGGAAAGTCTTAGGGTGACTAAACAATCATATCAGTGACGAGAGGATAGAATAATAGGAAATGAAGTACTAAGTGATTCCCGTCGCGAACTCGGGGGTGAAATCGATTGCGTTGCCCTGGTCATCTTTGGCAGAAAAAATATCCACTGTGGACAACATTGTCACAATGGCAGACCACACAGAGGCATCAGCAATGTATCTGCCTGATTAAAGAACGCCCTGGTTCATCGCATGCTGATGTCATTGGGATGGATCGACCCACCTGGGCATATACGCCGGCCTAGGCCAAAAATATATTGCATAGAGTCATCGTCCGTCAGCGTGCCGTTAATGTCGATGAATCTCTCTGGAATAAAATGACATGCATCATGATACCGCTTTTCATCATGTGAAATGGCCCTAAAATTAGGTTTTTTGATATTTCATTGAATGCTGAGTAGGATGCATCTAACCATAAGTTGCACATGACGATCACTCCTGATGTACGATATTTAGCCCATTAATCATCCGTTCATTGAATAACAGACCTTTTGGGATGTAGTAACCATCATATGTATCTTCACTCGAGGTAGCATGTGGAATTCCTATCAGGTAGTCTTCAACAAACGCAAGAATACTTAAGGACGAGCATCACCAAGTGGTGCAATGAGCATCCACCGGTAAGTCTCCTGCACAACTGCATCGACATAGGGTAGTGATTTCTTGTCCTCAAACGCAGGCAACTGATCTCTTCCAATGACCAAGTCGATCTCCGCTTGTGCGCGTTTCTGGACACCTGGATATAGTACCATGGCAAGAACAAAGACCATCAACATCCCGGTAGTCTGTGGAAAGGTCAAGTAGCAGCAAGATATATCTGACATCTTACAGTCTCATATCCACCTACACAATGTGTATATCGTGAGCGTTGCTGCCATCTCGAAAAAAGTTACTCACCTCCAACAGCAGTGGCAGCTGTGTTTTTCAAGGCGGTCTCAAACATTGATTTGAATGCCTTGTCTTGCTTCTCCACCCTTTGCAAATTTTCGGCCACCATTGAAGGTGTGTCCAGGAGTGAGTTGTCAGCCTTGACGGGCATGGAATTAGGTTGGACTACCAGCAAGAAAAAAATAGACGTTACCATACGACGCTGCACATATTGAAACGGGACATCCACCATTTCATTCAAGCTATTGGTCGAAATCCGGGCATCACGTTTGATTGAGGATCCTGGGCACCAGTCAGGCAACTTCAGTACTGCAAAATGCATAAATTATCAATGATTTCTCGTCAGAGGTGCTGAGCTCACAGAAGGGGAAAGTTTTAATCACGATTGCGCTCTCTGGAGTCAACCAGGGCAGGCCAAGTTGCATAGAATGTATAAAGAGCCGAACCAAAGAATCATCTTGAGCACTGGACTCGTAACCATATACAGCTGATATCACAACAGAGGATGAGAATCTATGAAGAGGTTGATAATTGTTCGATATTTGAGAAATACATTAGCTGACATTGCAAAGTGGGAATCATAATATTGAGAATCAGAAATTAGGTTGACGATCATCTCACGAGCCCGCCTGATCTGCATTGGGCGGAACTTGAGTGCAGATTCGGCATGGAAGGTTTGGTGGAAGAGTCGCCGGCTAAGACACCATGCATCGTTATAACCTGCGAATACAAAGTTGAACATCCAGCCAAATCTGTCTAGAGATCTCAGACCGATTCAACGAAAAAAAAACAAGGAAACACATGGTTCAACTGTGGCTAAATAGGGTCGATCAGAGTAGATTTGGGAACGGTTGTGCAGCAAGGCGTGTGCAACACGCTGAGAATTGATCACAACCACTTTCTGGTCTAGAATTCACATGAAAAACAAGTCTCCTGATAGTACAATGAGCATCATATCAGCGCTGACTTTCTGCCCACGTACCATAGATAGCATGCCATTCAGTATAGGTTAACCAAGGTCGCTTTGTGTTAATAGATAAGACATTCCCCAACAATGGAAGCGGCACTGGACCAGGAGGAAGAGGAGGTTTATGTTGTCTGTTCCCAACGAACCGCCTGAGGACAGTAAAGACAACACAAGAAACGGATAGGAGGGCAAGAACGGCAAGGCTATCAACTGAAGGGGTCATGATTAGAGCAGCTATCCTTAGGGCAAAATTAACAGTCTCTTTATAAATGCAAGAAGAAATTCTTATCGCGAGTTGGGATTGGTGTTTCCAAATCGCATCAGTTCAAACCACGTCGTTAGATCCGGTTGTGGCCCAACAAATTCGACACGCCGAAGAAAGAATACAGAAAACGAAAACGACGTTTCAACGTACTTTGTTGGTGGATAGATATTCAAAGACAGGCGGGTGATGCTTCAGTGAAATGGACCACAGTATTTCTGATGTCCAATGGCAAGGAAATCAATACATAGTGCAAAAGGCAGTTCCTAAAATAAAACAGTTACCCTGATACGTCGAACCAAACCATCAACGTGCATTACGTAATATTTGAGGTCACGAGTCATTGCCGCTCAACTGGAACGCTCCTTCATGTACTCAACACCTCCACTGGGCATTTGTGCAATCGAGAGGTACAGATCAACACCTTCATAGAAAGCAGAGTACGAAGAGCTTTTGTATTTATTAATGATCCATGCCCCCCTCCGCACGAATGCTATTAAACAGTGGTCACAAAGTTTATGTTATGTTGGTGCATACGTGGGAGAGCCAGAACTTCAGAAGCCGCTGCTATATGATATTCAGGACAAGGTCGTGTATGATTTAGACCCAGTCATAACTGTTGTGAAAATGCAGATATTCTGCGAAGTCTCTCGCAATGCAGGGTATCACTGGGCGTGGACTCGGTGCTGCATGAGCCAGAATAACAACCAACGATCAGTCAACTCGATGTTTGTCTTGTATCAACACTTGGCACTCACCATCGTCTACATGTCGGATGTTCTACTTTCTTCGAAGTCTGGCGCACTGCGTCTGGAATATGTGAGATGGACTAAATTATGGGCTTTTGAGTTCTTATCGGACGTTACTGATCAGACAGAGAACATGTAAAGTTCATTGAGAGGAAATGGTAGATTGAGACTCGAAGGAACTCGCAGTTTCATGATTAGCAATTACAAATTTGGTCGCTACAAACAATAAATAATAGTAGGTCCACGTCGACCCCTAGCTAGTACTTTTCATTTGTTACCTGATGTACTCATGCACTTTGTATGCGCCACACAAGACCAACCAAAGACCAGCAGCGAAAACCGCGCAGCTGCCAGCAACATAGCAGAACGTAGCATGACGTGGCGATAAAGACCGCTTGCTACTATTAAATATTAAGGGATCCAGTGCCAGCATACCAAGCCTGATTATAGACGGCGTCGTCAGTGATCACCCTCTATTTGAAAGCCTCATTGAAAATTTGCACCTCTCAGGCTGAATGTCTTCTTCTACTAGTGAGACTCACACAAAATGTTCGCGTCTTGTTCTGAAACACGGTCCAAAACGGATCCTGGTTGAACGGCAAATGTCGTATAATGTGAGTGGAACAACTAGTTAAACCTTTAATGGCTCATAGATATCATGAGTCCATGCTTGACGCCGCCTGCAGACATTTCCCAAGCATTCCGAGAAATAAGGTTATGTTGCAGACCAATCGACTCGCTGTTTGCGATGGCCACTATGCGGAAATCACGGCTGAAGTATGGGACGATATTCTTCACTTGTTCCACCCCGTTGAGGTGACTCGGCGTGTGGAAATGACTTTGCCCGTCCCACTGCCGCTTGACAATCAATTGGCGCCAAGTAAGGTTAACGAACAGGACAGCTGCTCGTATGCACCAAATATTCTACAAGTGTCTCCAGTACTAAAATTGAGACTACACAACAGGAACGATGACGAATGGTACATTGACCCAAACCCGTCAGGCCAGGCGCCAGAGTGCGACGACCAAGTCACAATCAAACTTGTTTTTCGATCTGGCGAGATTCAGACTACTAAAATCTCGAGGGAAATGCAGGTGGACAAGCTTGTTGCTGATGTTAGTCAGACATTGGGACATTCTCCTGCTTCAGGTCTCAGGGTCCAGGCAATTTTTGGACGGGTAACGATGTGTGCGAACCGGACTATCGGATCGTACGACATCGAGGATGGTGACTCCATCGATATTCGAGAACTTCGTCGCCGTTCGTGTTGTAAAAAGCCAGTCATTTATCTATACTCGCCCTCCGATATCGATGTTTCTGTTAAGCTCTCCCTCATTCCTGAGTGGAGCCTCTCTGTTATCTATCCCGTTGTTACCACAGAAGACCATGGACGGCGTTTAGAATGGAATGTCCGCACCCATCAAGATGGCAGTCTGACTGAACACAATTCTGGTTTGAATGTCTCGTACTTGTTCTGGGAGGCGGAGTAAGTCCCCTGATCATACAGAAATCACTCTCCTGACTTGTCTTGCTCCTCGCAGGACAAATTCGCAAGCATTTCCCCGGTCACCAGCATCCAAATCGCAACCAGTGGATACATTCAATCCAGCATCCAGCAGTCTCGATGATACGGATTCAATTGTCATCCCAGTAGACAAAGTGACCGTTTACCTCGACAACTCACTCAAGGTTTTGGGACTTCACACCGAAGCTAGAACATCATTCATAACGTGCGTACATATGCGCTACCTCAGGCTGTCAATTCGTAAACACAACACTGAAACTGTCGTGGTAGCTACTGGCTACCATCCATCCTTAAGCACGAATACGTTGCCCTCCGATTTGTACCTCAAGCGGCATTCGAACGTGCCGCTTCCTTACGCATTTCTCCGCAGCCTGACGTCGTGACTCGGGTATTCATGTTGTTCAAAGGTATCCGTAAGGAGGACTTGGCAAATTGGACCAATGCACAAATTCAAGCAGAGAAAGACGTTGCTTGGTGGGTGAATGTAATTGGAGTTGATCCTGCAAGAGCTGGTGATGTGACTTTGTTCAGGGTGTTGGAATGGGGCGGGATGGAGGTTCTCATTTGATATTCTATCAGATTATGTATTCAATTTGTGCAGATGTTATCGCGTTTTGTTTTGATCAGCTCCGCATCCGACAGTTGTGAGGAAGACGTGAACTCGACGGTGTCCACGAAATGGATGCATATGATTAAACATGCCCGCAGTTGAAAGGCTGTGGTTAGAGCAAGGCCAAAGATCCAAATTCGAGTGTATATCTCATGACCAGAAATCGTAAGTTACACGCCGTTGACCTAAAGACACTGATGAATATACCAACCATAAATCACGTCCGACTCCTGCCCTACCCCTTCTCGTAAAAGACAACATAGTTGGTCAAAAACCGCACCTGTCCCAGCGTCCCAACGGCCTTGACGCTTCGCCGTCTCCGCACAACAACGATTGCGCGTTCGACGAGTTGTGAAGTATCCCTCCTGACGTGACTCTCTAAGCTATCGGGGCCTTCTGCCAAGTTGGGTCATAGGTCCACGTTAATCCACCCGCACATGCCGATTGTAATGCCTAAGAGCGTTCTACGAGGCCTGCCTTACCCAAACTCCCATGACAATGCACAAGGATACTTCCACCACGCATGGTGTAACCGTCGATGAATTCTGACAGGGACTCGTTGACTAGGGCGATAGTGAAGCAAGGCCTTCAGGCAGTGGTGTCCTGCAATCACAATGAAAGTGAGCAGCTGAATGATTCAACAAGATGAAGTACTTACGCAAGGATGTCTATTCCTGCCCGGTGTGCAGAGCCCACGTGGTCTGACCAGCGTACCCCAACAAATTCAAGCTCTTCGTCATCTAGACAACTACAAAATAGTCAACATATCCACTGCACAGACAATACAGCGTGCTACAACTTGACCAAACAGCCCTTGTGCTCATGGAAATCTGATGTCGACTCGGAACGGAGCAATGCGCTAGACGCTCTCAGTTTGGTGGTATTCTGCGATGCAACCGAAATCGCCAGAGCAGAAGTCCCTCTTTATTGCAGAGAATTCGCTTCTGATTGCTTCCATTAAGCATTTCAACGCAGATTCCTAGGCCAGGTAGAGAAGTGGAAGGAAGCCATCAAACATCGATGAACCAAGTTGATGTGTAAGTAGTGCTCATTGTTCGGCATCTTCCGCGTCCATCTGTTTCTCTACGGTGAGACGAAGAATGAGCGCTAGCGCTTAGTCGGGCGAGCACAATTAACTCACATCAGACCACTTTTTGATCATTTTTGACCGGTCATTTCAAGTAGGAATTATAAGGGCTTCAGATTCAGAAGTCATAGACTCGAGTCACTTCAGCATCAACCTTTCTTCTGTTTCCACTCGTAATCGAAAGTGTCTTCAGACTCTAGGGTATCATGGATCCTCGTCCAAGGGTAATATGTCTTCCAAACACCATGACCAACTGGCCCTGGCCCCGTGCGATGAATCCTCATTATGAAGTTGTGAAAGCTGAAGTTGATGCTTCGTTCCGTGAATTCAAGGCTCTGAGTGCCGAGTCACAGGAAGCATACGACAAATGTGATTCTGGTTCGGCCTCTGTTTTTACTTGCCCATAACTCTTTAATGGTTGACAGCGGACAACTGCTGCTTTTGTAGCCCGTTTAGCAGGACTGGGTTATCCAAATGCATCAAGAGGTTCGTCCCTGACCCTAGCTTGGATTCTCGTGAATCAATTCTATTCTGGCCATATAGAACACCTTCGAGTCGCCTGCGAGCTCATCAATGTTTTCCTCATCGTGGACGAGTACACCGACGTTGAAAATGCAGCAGTTGCCGAGGCAATGGTGGGCATCGTCATCGATGCCCTACACAATCCTCATAAGACACGACCAGAAGGCGAGTGCATCCTCGGTGAAATCGTACGACAGCAAGTATCTTCAAATTGTCTGATCATACATTCTGAAGTCCAAAGAAATTTTGCGTAGATTTTGGGCTCGTGCGATTCAGACCACAAGCCTACCTTTTCAACGTCACTTCCTTGACAGCTATACCGCATACCTTCGTGCAGTGATTGTCGAGGCTCTCGACCGCGATAAGGCTCATTGCCGTAGTATTGGCGATTATATCAAGCTCCGGCGGGATACATGTGCTGCAAAACCTGCCATCGCAATATACGAAATGGCAATGGATCTTCCCGATGAGGTGTTTTATCACCCCGTCATTGTCGAACTGGTCGAATGCATTGCAGAATTGATGTTGATTGACAATGTAAATTCGCATTGACGACGTGATCTGCAACCGCTAACAGCATTCACAGGACATGATCTCGTACAACAGAGAGCAAGCGACAGGGGACGAAAACCATAACTTGATCACTACTGTTATGGTGGAACTTGGCCTCGACAGAAGCGGTGCGATGGTCTGGGCAGCACGCTATCACACTGAAGTCGAGAAAAGGTTCACCGATGGTCTCGCCAAGGTACCTTCGTGGGGACCTTCTACCGACGTTCTAGTCAAGGAGTATCTTGATGGGATGGCAACATGGGCTCGAGCAAACCATTCTTGGAGTTACGAAACTCAAAGGTCTCAGGAATTTCCAATTTGATAAACGATTACTTACCCTGATTGAAACTGCAGATACTTGGGTACAAGGGGCCTAGAGATACAGCGAACTGGTCTTGTCCCATTACTGCCCAGGGTCAACTGCAAAGCCTCATCCGCGGGAGCAAAGGTCAATGTGGCTGATTTATCCATGATGGATGCCACAGCAGACCGTAAGCATCTGGAAGCTCCAGACCAACCCAACTCGTAACTCGTGTATTCCACAAGCGCCGGGCCCACCGTCGCCCTAGGTGATAAGTGTAATATAATCCACATCTGTTCAGAAGAACGGGCATAGACCGCAGATAATGTTGCAGCGAATATGAAATTTATCTTCAGGTGTGGGGCTCCTCTCGGAGTTCGCAGCTCGTTTTCCATGCATGTACCTCAGGTTTCGTCGACTGATTGTTCAAGTTCGTCAGATACACAGTAGCTTACAGCGGCGATATCATGAATACAACATCTCTTTTCTACTAGTTGTGGACTTAATACGGACACAGAAGCAGGGTGTAACGTGGTCAGACCGCCGCCCGCGCATAATCGTTACACCAAAAGGTGAAATACTGAAAGCTTGACTCTCAGCATAATATATAGAACTCAGGTAAGCCAGCGTACTTACACAGAAGCGATCTACTGCATAATATATAGAACTCAGGTAAGCCAGCGTACTTACACAGAAGCGATCTACTGTGAACTCTCCTATTATATCGCTGCCAATCTCAGGTTACCAACCACCAGCGCACAGTGATGACGGCTCGCCTGATGTGGACAGTGTATGGTAGTACTAGAGATATCGGCCTACGTATTTCTGGTCAGCAATTTAGCTACAAAGAAGGTACAGAATGTCATCCAAGCCAATAAATAATATATAAATGTATCAGGGAGCCGTACATGTGTACAACAAAAATGATCCGTATGTTTGATTGATGTAACAAATTGCGACGACCATAAGTCCAGAGTGAAAAGTTCAAGCCTCCAGTTCAGGAAACACTATGATATATGTATGCGCGCTTCATGGAAGTAACGCCAGTAACCAGGAAGTAGATGTGCAACAGAAAACCAAAGCTTCGGAAAGTACTTGGTCAGGCCGAAGTTAGACAGATGAGAGTATGACTCACACTATATAGCTGACACGACAGACGGTCCGCCTGGGTTGTCTTACATACCATGAATCGTAATCCGACAAGTCCCGAATACAACACGAATGTGACGCTGCAGTATGCGTCCATCCTCCAGACCTGAGTAAGACAAATCGACCACATCGGAAGTCCTACAAACATGGACACACGAGCTGGAGAAGGATGTGCGATCGGTAGCGTTCGTCTGCCTATGGAGCGATCTCCTTCCTGGTCTTTGAAGTCCTGTGCTTGGAGCGTGGTGGCGAACATAGCGATGCTAAGCAGCACAGCTAAGAGAGCATTCGGCTCTAGTCGCGACATATCTCGGCCTGGTTGCGATAGTCAGCATGTGTTTTCTTATTTGATGTCAGCTACATACCTGCAATGAGGGTGGCCCCAGCCTGGAAGCAAGCATATCCTAAGCCGGTCATCAAGTTTTTTGAAAACCAATGACTATGGGCTTTGAATTCATTGTACCAAAGAGTGAGCAGAGTTATCGCTAGGCTTGCGCTAAGCACTTGGATGCTGTAGAATGCTGATGATACCAAGCATATGGGGACCAAGGACCAGCGTAGATAGACCGCATCTCGTAAACTGATGTATCCCGCTGGTATTGGTCGGCTAGCTTTGTTCCTGCCATCTTCTGCTGGATCAATCACTTGATTGGCAACATTAAAATGAAGGAGGTGAAGCCAAATCCACCAGACCACATGAACACATCGGTAAGGGCTGTAGAGGGGGGCTGACACCAGTGCGAAAAGTGTCTGCGTCTATGATATCAGAACAGAAAGTTACTGGGAAACGCTATTGTTTACCGTTGGGATGATCGTCGTCAGAATGTCATTGTGCGTGAAGAGATAGAGTGTAAATAGGGATTTCGATCCAAAATCAAGGGCGCTCATGAGTGTGGAGATTGTAGCACATATCCCGTATCCTTAATAAATGTCGACCAGAAGAAGCAGAACCGAAATTAGATGTTTGAGCCTCATCAGAGACACCGTGCGAAAGCACGGAAGGGGTCGAGGAAGAGCTCGGTTGGGCATCCTGAATAGGACGGGAAGAACGATCTTGTTGGACAGGGTAGGTGTTCTCGGGGGACCTACGAAATAACTGTCAGCTCGGAGAATTGTTCCTACAGGATAGAGTCGAGATGCGAAGTGGTGCGGATGGGCGGTCCGAGCGGTAAAGAGGAAATAGGACTACGCATACCAGTTCTCCGAGTCTCGTAGTGATTCAGGACCACCTCGATAAAATACGTCAACGATTGCCCAAGGGTATTGTGAACAGGCAGGGCGTTAGATGATGTGCGAGAAGCAGGTTCCACGCTGATTGCCACAGAATTTATGGTACATGGGATGCCGCCAGCCGGATCACATCAGAACATGTGGATCTGGTCCTGGTACAGCATACACAAAGTAGTATTGTAGTATACGGTCGCACAGTTGCTCGAATTTGAAATTATGCCAGCTGTCGACGGTCGTCAACTTGACCGTGGATTTCATACACGGTAGCACGCACCAACTCCACTTTGCGAGCCGGTGATACGGATCGCTCCGATGGGGTGTCCTAGCAACGGAATAAAAGTAGTTATTAAACAGTCAGCTTGTATAAGGTAAACGCTTTGCAAACATACCCCTTTTTAACCGATATTAGCGGAGGACTTAGGCGCCTCCACCGATAATAACATGGAGATACGGCTCAAGCGCTCTTCAATTGCTGTCAAATCAGACATCATAACGGCGTGCCTATGTTCCAGCGATTCGAAGATGTTATCGTCGCTTTGCAGATTACTGCTTGCCGTAAATGTAGCAGAGGGGAGGTTTAACAAACGAGTAGAATAGGATCCAGATATTGTGGGCGTCACGCTTCTTCGGCTGAGTATAGACATCGCAGAACCGGGGCGTGGACTGGGGCTGGGACTTGGTGGTCCATCCGACTCGGTTTCCTCTGCTCCCTCAGATGCCGAAGCAGCCACCACGGCTGGGAAATCATCAGAGTCATAAGTTTTGTCAGTAACAATGGGCCGAAGACAAAAGCGCAGCTCTTTCCGAACGGTGTTTGAGAAATTTCGGCTAGAGGACTGTATCAAGCGCGGCTTGCGACCACTAGCGAGGACTTTCTTCCTGGCACTCATTCCGATGCATTCCACGAGTTGCTTCATGGCTTCACGATCTGAAACAGCGCGCCGCTGAGCTGTACGCCGAATAGTGCCTGTGCGGGGAAGGGTGTGGAATGCTGATAAACTATGGGGACGAATAGGTGTTGCAAAAGCGGAGAAATGCGTGGCAGTGCTGGAAGCTTTGAGCAATGGACGAGGGTTATAGTTCCCGGAAGTGGCCTGTAAAGGCTGAGGAGTGGCCAATCTGTCTGTCTCGTATTTTCGAGATAAATTGGTTGGCAAAAGGTATGCATCCTCAGTAGGACCCCACGAAAATCCGATGAAGGCCGACTCGGCTCGTGGAGATATGTGATGAGACGTGTCTTGCAAAATTGATATTCCAAGCGAAGTGTTCGGGGAAGAATGAAATAAAGCAGAAAACGCAAATGGCTGTGAATTTTCTTCATCCGTGGGATCAGGGGGTTCAGGTACTGCTGATGCAGAATATGTGAATTGCGGCACATGAATGTCAGACGGTGCAAGGCCTACGCAAGAAAGAATGAATATAAGAAGAACTATATTGATACCCAAGACTCACGCGAATCTACACAAGACCAGTCGGTGTTTCTGAAAAACTGGTGCTCTGTTATTTCCAGCACGCTACATCTCCCGAGACGATGGTGCCGATCAGTGAGAAATCTGTATCCACGTGGTTTGAATGATAGTAGCATGAATAGTTTCACAACAGACCTGCGAAGTAACTCCTGTAGTTGTTTAGAAACGGGAATCGCCGCATTGAAGCGCAAGCTTGTCTGTCCAAATGAAGGGTCAATGTAGGTACTAGCGAGCTTAGTAATACTGCAGTACCTGATAGTCCAAAATCCTCAGATAAGTAGTTCGAATGTCTTTAGCGAAGAAAGGGGCCACTCCATAAGCCAATTCATACAACATTGCGCCGAGGCTCCACCAATCGATTTCTGAGCCATACGAACCAACTTCTTCGGAGAATGAAGGAGAAACATTGTCGTCCGACAACTCCAGCGCAAGGAGGGCATCTTCGTGTGCTTGCAGAACTTCAGGAGAAATGTAGTCACAAGTACCACAAGGAACAAGGGTATATTGTTTCGGGACTGACTGGCTCCCGTCAGGCTCTGGAGGTGAAAGTGGCGCAGCAGACCCGAAATCTATTAGAAGCATGCGATTGCTTGCTGTGAGAACGAAGTTCTGTGGTTTTATATCACTGCATTGCGTTTATATGAGTACGCAATGCTAGAGGGTGGTTCTCACCGATGTACAAAACCCTGGGAATGACACCAGTTGATGGCGCAGACTGCCTGAGGAGCCCACCAAAGTAAGTCTGTCTCAGGAACTCTACCTTCAGGGCTCGACTCGAGCACGTCCCATAATGTACCTCCTTCGGCATAATCCATGACAATATTGAGATGAGTGGAAGTTTGAAATGCACAAAATAAGTGCGGAGCCCACGCAGAGCGCTCACGTTTTGCACGTAGAAGAATGTCCCTTTCCAACTGTGGAGAACATTGCTGCAGAATATCTTAGCATGAAAAGTCGCTGATAACAAAAAAGTGCTACTTCACGAGTCCGCTGGGCAAAATGTTTCTCGATAGATTTGCGAACATATACGCGACCATTTAGATGGCACGTTACCACGTCAATCTGAACAGACAAATCAGTGTATACGTAACATATGTTTTACGCACTTACCGTCCCGAATTGGCCTTGGTCCAGTGTGCCCAGGACGACAAGATCTCCATCTGAGAAACGGAGAGATTCTATCTCTGCAGTTCTCGCTATTTCAGCGGAGGTTGTGAGTAAAAGACCGCCAGAATGCACCTGGCTCTTACCAGTCCTTCCTATGATCCGCTGACCATGCAAAATGCGATCCAAGGCAAGGCCTTCTTCATCATCATCCGAGCTATTGAGTAATGAACCCAACAATGTTTTCCGTTTTGTCCAGGGTAGAGACATGCATTAGGTCAAAAATGAAAAAGATAACGTTTCTGGCTCCTATAGCTACAGAGTGAAGGAGATGATTACAGGAAGCTACAGACTAGTCGTTATCTAAGTCTAAAGGTTGTGTTGAGTGTGTTGCTAGACAATCAATAATATTAGGCTCGGCTTTTTGCGTGATGAACGTTAACTCCACACAACATCAACAACGTCAACGTCCATATTACCGACAACTGGCAAAACCATATTTTTGGGTAAATATTCACCATGAAACTTGCAAGGTGAATATTGCGCTTGTTTCTATGATATTAGACTAACCCCAAAAGTTTTCTCTGTTCGAGCATTGCAAGGTTCGGGCGCTGACCCCAAGTTGTTTTCATCAGATTCTTGATGAAACTCAACAATGAGACGGTGACTATCGAGCTCAAGAATGGGTCACTAGTCCATGGGACAATCACCGGTTCGTCTAATCGGCTCGTTTACTCAAGCCTTACAACCCTCAAATTATTCGCAGGTGTCGACATGCAGATGAATACCCACCTCAAAACTGTCAAAATGACAGCCCGTAATCGGGACCCGACGTCCCTAGATTCCCTATCTATTCGTGGCAACAACGTCCGGTATTTCGTGCTCCCTGATGCACTTCCTCTAGATACCCTCTTAGTGGATGATGCGCCGAAGCCGAAAGGTAGGAAGAAGGACGAGGGGCGCGAAAGGGGAAGGGGACGGGCTCGAGGGATGGACCGTGGGCGTGGTAGGGGACGAGAACGAGGAAGAGGAAGAGGTTTCTGATGGTATGGTCAAAATCTATTATCATCGGGAGATGAAGAGCTCGCATAGGGTGCACCACTCAGCGGATATAAATCCCTCTATGTAAATCTAAATGCTCTGACATTTGGTCCTTCTGAAAAGTGGGTGCTACATTCAATAAGACAGCCGTGTCCAAGCCATCAGTGTTGTAGTGGTGACAAAGGCTTTCGCTTCAAATCTCCTCTGTCAACATCTTGCTCGGGGAAGAGCACAACATACCTTTTCCAGGAATTCAACATGCGTCAGTCCTTACTCAAGAATCTACGGAGCCTGCTAGAGACTTGGAGGGGTACTAGCACATGGGAGTCAGACGAATTTCACCCGCAGGATTCAGCATTCCGTCCTTACATATGTTAGACAAGTCATATGCTGGTTGTATACGTACCAGCACAAACTAAAATAAAACCACACCACGTCTGCAACGCGCTTGCCACATATATCCCCAGGTTGAAGCTGAGTAAAAAACACAGCCAACGAAGGAGCTCGCGAAGGTAGAAAATAACAAGGAATTTGACCAAGAGTTTCGCACCTAAACCTTCAGCTACTCTATCGTGCCCACACCTTCCCCTGATGATCTAGTAAAATTGGCACAAAGTCCCAGAGGCTGAAGTCGGGCCAATAGGTATTTACCACGTGGACTGCATGTTTTCGCAGTACTGTGAGAGATACAAATGAGTTTGGTGAGGACAATACTTCGGATGAGTATATGACTTCCATGTTTGCCAACAAAAGAATATCTGCTTTTAAATGGGAGATGGAAGACAGGGAGGGAGCAGAGACACACCTGCCACTGCAGAAAACTGCTCAATCGCTTCACGCCACTCGTGCGAATGAAAATCTCGAGCGGCGGACTGCCCCAAAGCGAAGTGATAAGGTTTTCCTCGATAATCTGTTCTGTGATCAATCTGCGTGTATTGGTTGACATGAAACATGACGGATAAGTCACGCATTAAAACAACGGTCAAGGAAAGATCTGTGCTCACGAAGAACCAAAGTTTTCTCTATTGGCAAGGGCCTGCTGCACGACGGATTGTACATGTCGTCCCATGCCACGAGGCGTGTGATGCGCAGACATTTTATAAAGTTGCTCTGTTGGAGTGTGTTCAGGATGGAAGGCGAGGGTAGAAAGGACATACTTGTTATTCTGACGCGTCATTTCCCTCCGCTTTATCAATTGCGACTTGAACACGCATAGGTAGCAGCTCACGATGGCTAACATACTGACCTAAGAGAGCACTGAAGAGTAATTGCAGGCAATAACATTGGGCGAGTGAGCACTTTAAACGCGGCAATGTATCTCAAGTAAGATCTCACCCATTTTTACGAGCCTCTCTTCTGCTAGTTTCATGAGCGTGCAGACCTCGTCGGGTGGTCTGTTGAAGTTTGCGATCGCAAAAGCGTGGACCGTGACACTGCGTGTGTCAAAACCTATACATATATCTAATATCTGTAGTCCATGTCAGGGGATCTCCACGACTGAAACAGGATCAAGGGATGTATCCGTGTAAGTGTATGGAACGTGTCTGAATGAGTCATGACCCTCAACTGCGCGGCGGCCAGTGAGATGTGCAAAGGGGCGGTTACCAGCCATTTCGAAGGCCACACATGACGTGAAATAGTGCCCACAGAAAGAACATGGAGGGGCAGAATTATGAGTTGGGCCGTGATAACTTGAAAGAAGAACTGTCCTGCCTGTCCAGCCCAGGATCCCGGGTAGACTGGTTACCAGGCCCCTCATAAATAGAGGGGCTTGTCACCAGTCTAAGGAAGTGCTACCAGAGGTCTCCTCTGAGCTACATTCCACCACAACTCTGGTGGCAAGTGACTAATTAGAGCGAACGTGGCGGCTGCAGAATAAATGAGCACAGCCGCATACATTCAATTTCGGCCCACGGCCCACGGAGCTAGGCTCGTGACCAGCCTGGCGTATTCTCAAATTGACGCATAGTCAGACTGGTTACGAGTCTACCACGGAGCCTCTTCGTCGTCGTCTTACGCGATGGCAAGCACACACAATTTTCATAAATCAACCACGCCTGACAAGCGACACGTTTTACTCTTGAATGTTGACGACATAGACGCTATCCAACCTGATGTCAAGGAGCAACCTACTCGCCCTGCCCACTCACACAAACGCAAGCGTTTTGCTGAATTCAGTGTCCTCCTCTCGCTTATTATCACTACTACCATATTTGAATTCTGGCCCCGTACTCGACACGACACGAGTACTGGAAGGGATTCATTGTACTCGAATGGAACACACGAGTTCAAGAAGACAGTGCTTATGGTTTCGATCGATGGTTTTCGTGCGGATTATTTGGATCGTGGACTCACGCCGCATTTGTTAGATATCAGCCGGGAAGGTGTGAGGGCAAAGTACATGCAACCTGTTTTCCCCGTGCGTATTCCCTTTCAGTCATTTGCTCTAGTCCTAAACATTTCCCTCTCTGCAGACTCTGACATTCCCGTGAGTCATAATTCGTTAAAATAATTGATACATCCGAATGGGGTTTGTTCCAGAAATCACTGGTCACTGATGTAAATATCACCCGTACATTGCTCGACATGAGCTCACAATCTAGGACTGGCCTCTACGCCGAGTCGCACGGCATTATTGCGAACGTTCGTTCTTCATCACTTCCTTCAATTGTCGGGCATTCTCACATCGGCCACGTAGAACTTTTGGGACCCCGTGTTCCGAGACACATTCCATTTCGATCGTGTTGAATCCGCGCAGAACCCAAGCTGGTGGCTCGGCGAACCTGTCAGTACTCACCAATTTTTTTTGTATGCATGCCTAATGCGCTGCTTTTCACCTCTTGTAACTTTACACGTTCGTCTGGTCATCTGACCGACACATACATCGATCTCTCCATCCTCTGCATTTGTTACCCTTCGTACAACTTAGATGTGGGAAACCGCAGAACGTGCAGGTATCATCACCGCAAACCTCATGTGGTCAGTTTTTTCCTCTGTATCATAATTTGCTCTTTATTCACTTGACCAGGCCTGGTCCTTGGTCTACATCTTCGGGTGTGAACTCCACATATTTTCTACCTTGGGAAGTAAGAGTGTGGTCTTAAACTCGCAAGGAATGTAGTGTGATTGAAACTGGAGTGCAGGATAACTACGCTCTCGAGAAGAAACTTTCCGATCTCCTAGAGTGGATTGACCTCCCGCTGGAAGAGCGGCCGCAGCTTATTCTTGGTGTGTTCTTGCATCTGATTCTTCCTGTGCTTCTAGACGAAATATTTGTAAACTTCTTTTGCTCCAAGCAAGGGCGGGTGTTGTTTCTTCTACTTGTCGTTTCGTTCTCTCCAATTTCACAATTTTCCTTTGTGGGCACTGATGTTGTTTCATAGGGTACGAACCGTCGCTAGACCATGCTGGCCATACAACAGGGCCGATGTCTAAGGCCGTTAACGTAAGCGTTGTATCAATTCCATTGGTTGGTGTGCTTATCTTTTTTTTCGAACTTGCTACTTACTATAGATGAGTCTTGCAGCTGTCGATCTTTTCGCTCGGAACCTAACCCAAGCACTAGGCGAGCGCAACCTCACGCATATCGTTGATATCATCTTCGTCAGTGACCATGGAATGGCGGACATGAGCCACCCAACTTGGATATATGTTGACGAGATTGTTGGTGAGCTGTGGAAAGGTGTTACCAAGATGGATGGTAAGTGATTTCAGTGTATAGTCTGCTACTTGCCGGAATGTTCTAGACTGAGTGGCGGATTGCTTACCCTTCGCTATTCAGGTTGGCCATCTATGGGCTTACGCTTCGCTCCTGGCACGAACGCGACTGAAGCCATTGAGCGTCTGTGCGAGTACACACTTACCCACCCGGATCAGTTCGATGTGTTTACGACCGAGAGCTTCTCTACCGACCCTGGCACCTCCTTGGTAGACCTCAACACATTCAACTACTGTAAGATGTCTGCATGCACAGTGGAGCCCGTGCCCGAACGATACCATTTCTCCCGTAATTACCGCATCGCCCCTATGTGGATTGTACCGCGCATAGGCTACGCGCTGACTGACTACATGGGTGGCAAAGACGGAGTGCCAACTGGAGTGAGTTTACTTTACCGTATCTCATGTCGCTTGATTTCTGTACTGCAGGTCATCGAGCTAATGCATTGCGCCTTCCTAGAACCACGGCTACGACAACGAGGACCCGTCGATGCGTGCCATCTTTGTCGCACACGGGCCTTTCTCGCGGGGCGCCAAGGCTTCTGTGGTCGCACGAGGAGAGGGCAATGGCACAGAGGAGTACGTGATGCCAGGGTTCCAGAATGTCGAGATTTACAACCTCGTGATGCGACTGCTGAGCCTCGACGCTACGGATATAGCTACAACCAACGGAACCGCTGGATTTTGGGATATGTTTGTCTTGCCAGATGTTTGAACTTCGTACATATTTGAAGTCGAACTGCGTTCGATGCTTCGAGAGCTATCATTACCCATCACCTTCCTCGATGTGCTACATATATATGCATCATCTTGCTACGTGCCATAAGTATCTGACACGCGTCCTCAATGTCGGACAATGTTAGAAAACTAAATTTCGTCATTCTCACTGCTACGAGATCAGACAAAGTCTTCGACTGCGTGCGCGACGCTAATGGGTCCCGCATATATCAACTTATCTTGCGGCGTATGCAGTTGCTGCCATCTGCAGCCTACACGAAGAAAGCTCTCCGTGATCCAAAAGGCAAAAAGGAAGGCTACTGATGAGCTCGGAGGTCAGTCACCTGCTAAGAACTCGAAGATGTCGACCGAGAGCCATGACATCTTTGATATGGAGCTGGAAGCTGATGATGATTAGCCTGACTCGAATACTGTTGTGAAATTTGTAGTGCTGCATCTGATTTGCGAAGTGTCTGATTGCTGTACATAGTACTCGATTGTTTGTATATCGATAAACGGTTTGCTACCAATCCATCGTCATTTCTTGAACTCCGAAGTTGAACTCGGGGACTGGTGCTTCCCAGCGCCGCTACGATATAGGACCAAAGAACCGCTCAATTTGAGTCATGTTCAGGTGAATGAACATGAACTTCACCGGTTTTCCCACGAATTGCGGTCAACAACCGTGACCTTGAGTCACTGAGCTACGCGGTTTCCTTGGGTGCAGGTACATACTCGAATCTCTTTCCTTCTTCCTGCTCCAAAAGGTCGAACTCGGGCGTTCCGGCAAAGTTGCCCCACAACTCAGATCCAAGGTATTCGTATGTCTGGGCCGCACTTGCTGGGTCAATAAGACGTGTTTTTATTCCACGAGCAGCGGCGGCCTGGTCCGCTGTCATTTGAGCCTGGCAGCACTTTTCCAAAGAGATGAAAAAGTAAACGGTAGATTCAATCGACTCGGTGGAAACGAGGATCCCGTGGTTCTACACGAGGGAGCATGATAAGCAGGTGAGAACGTTTTACTGAGCTCTTAGAGATACCTGGAGGATGACAGCCTAGTAGAATCTTGTGAGCATCGACACATGTAAATCAACGCATCTGCAAACCTTTTTCGAACCAAGAGCATTCGCTATGGCCACACCTTCCTCGATATCATCGACGATGCCATTGAATTCGTCATACAAAGCATGATCCTGTAGGTTCATTTTCGTTGAATGGGGATATCTCTTCAAAAACGGATGAATGCGAGATTACCTTATAAAACGCACAGCTGTCCTGAGTAAGGGGATCAAGAAGTATCCCAAGAGTGCCGAATGCCTTGGCATACGTAGTATGCGAATGCGCAATGCAGACAACATCCGGGCGAGCTTGATGAATCGCTGAATGGATCAGGAACGCCACCCCGTTGAGCCACCGGGAAGGTCCAGATTCATTTTCCTGTATCTTCCCTGCTTGGTCCACGAGAATGAGGTCCTCAGGCTGCATGAACTTGAAATGAACACCCTGTGGCCCAGTAACTGGTGAGTAACATGATTTCACTATCTTGACAGGATATCAATCACCCAGGGGTTGAACCAGTAACAATCTTTTCTGATCGGGTCCTTTTGACGAAGTGATTAGAAATGTCACGCGCAGCATCATATGAGCGATACTCTTACCTGGACAGTAATATGTCCAGCGACCCCTTCATCAAAACCGTACTTTCCTGCTTTGGCATGAATACGACGAGCGCTTCTTGTTACAAATAGAGCTCACCAAAGATACGATATGCTTGAGCCAAGCGGAATTTCAGAAACGCCCGATGTTCGAGTGGGTCAGAAAACGTGCGAGGAACCGGTACGGTTTTTTTCCAAAGATCAAACTCGCTCAATGGTGCGGCCATAGTAGTAGATGTGCGATTTGAAACGGAGGGGTTCTAGTACTTATACTGACCCTGCCAACGAGCGCTTACAGGCTTCTTCTTCGTCGTTGTCACAAAATATCCGACTTGCTCAGGACAAAGCAGATACTAGTCAGCACTAGGCTCGTAATCATGGCCCAGCTGTGATCACAAGCTAGCTTATCGCACGTTAAGACATGCAACGTGATCTCTTTGGGCTGTCGGCGGACCAGATAGAAGAAAGTTAGTCAACTCGTCTCTTCTGCATGACACTTCCATCTGACTTTATCATCAGAGAACCAGTGAACCGATGAGAAAGTTGTTTAAAGTTAATATGTAGTAGAGCCAAAGTAGAGCATCGCCACAATCTTCGTACATCTGCTGACTGCTTTCACATGAGAATATTTAGGCTTATCAAGGAATAGACGAATGCACAAGCACATCAGTAAACCAGAAATGTCACACAGACCTGACTTAGATATTGACAGAGTCTCCCAACTGCGACAGCTCATCCGGCCGCGCAGTTATCTCACAGTCTTGGCACTGCCATAGAAGCCTCGCCGGAGGTACATTTCCTGACTCTATTTTTGTCTTTATGTGCTGTATTTCGCGAGCTCAACATACTTACCATGGACATCGTACTCTACCCCCCTCTATAATTCTCGAAGTCAATGAGGCTTGATGTAACAGTGTATAGTGCGTTAAGCACAATATTTTGTCACTAATATTCCTGTAGTCTCTCAATCTAAAAATTAACTTCAACGTTTATGGTTGGGGTTATGATTATGTAAGGTGCTGGATCACAGTGACGCCTCTCAATATCGGACGGTGTTAGACAACTAAATTCCTTCATTCTCACTGCTACGAGATCAGACAAAGTCTTCGACTGCATAACTACGTGTATACCTTCAACCTAACTGGATTCTTGGACAGCACTCGCGGACAAAATGCACTTAGCCGAGTAGAGGTAAGGGTTACACTATCTTTCCTTGCACCTGTTCTAACTTCAAGGTAGGCTGGAGCGTCAAATTTCGCTCACTGTGAATACCTATGCCGTGTTTTAGAGAATCAAATATCAGCAAAGATATTGCTGGACGCTTCAAGACTCCGTATTGGTAATCTAAACAGTCTCCTAAGGTGCAGGAACATACTCGAATCTCTTTCCTTCTTCGTGCTCCAAGAGCTGAAACTCGGGAATCCCATTAAACCAGCCCCCCATCTCAGATCCAAGGCGTTCGCATGTCTGGGTCGCACTTGCTGGGTCAATAAGACGCGGTTTCAGTCCACGAGCGGCGGCGGCCTGGTCCACTACCATTTGGACCTTGCAGCACTTTTCCAAAGAGATGAAATAGAAAACGGTAGATTCAATCGACTTGGTGGCAACGAGGATCCCGTGGTTCTACACGATGGAGCATGATAAGCAGGTGAGAACGTTTGATTGAGCTCTTAGAGATACCTGGAGGATGACAGCCTAGTAGAATCTTGTGAGCATCGACACATGTAAATCAACGCATCTGCAAACCTTTTTCGAACCCAGAGCATTGGCTATAGCCAGACCTTCCTCGCGGTCATCGACGATGCCGCGAAATTCGCTATACAGAGCATGATCCTATAGATTCATTTTCATTAAACGGTACATCTCGTTAAGAACGGATGGAGGTGATGTTACCTCATAAAACGCACAGCTGTCCTGAGTAAGGGGATCAAGGGGTATCCCAAGAGCGCTAAACGCCTTAGCATACGGTGTATGCGAATGCGCAGCGCAGATAGCATCTGGGCGAGCTTCATGAACCGCTGAATGGATCATGTACGCGGCCCGGTTGAGCCACCGGGAGGGTCCAGATTCATTTTCTTGTATCTTCCCTCCGTGGTCTACGAGAAGGAGGTCCTCGGGCTGTATGAGCTTGAAGTGAACGCCCTGTCGCAATTTGGTGAATTGTGATCTATATATTGGACACGATAATCAATCACCCAGGGGTTGACCCAGTAACAATCTGATCTGATCGGGTCCTTTCGATAAAAGCAATTAGGACTGGCACGCACACTGATATAAGCGTCACTCTTACCCGGACAGTGATATGTCCAGCGACGCCTTCATCATAACCGTACTTTCCTGAATTGACATGATAACGATGAGTACTTCTTGTTCCGATTAAAATAAGTGGAGCTCACCAAAGATACGATATGCTTGAGCCAAGCGGAATTTCAGGAACGCCCGATGTTCGAGCGGGTCAGAAAACGTGGGAGCAATCGGTCTGCTACTTTTCCAAAGTTCAAACTTGCTCAATGGTGCGGCCATAGTAGTAGATGTGGGATTTCAAACGGAGTTCTTGTACTTATATTTGACCCTGCCAGCAAGCGCTGGAGCCTGGCAAGCTTCATCATCACGAAAGATCCGACTTGCCCCAGATGAAACAAATACTAGTACGGCACTAGGCCCGTGACTAGCCTATTAGGCATTGAACACCAAGACTAAAGAGTCATCGTAACGCCCAATGTAACGGGAAGGGCTGCAAGGGAACCAAGGCCAGACCTTTATGGCGGGAGGCTACGGCGTTCTCTATTGAGGACAGACTGCGACACACGCGGCGAGGACTCCTGCTCCTGCGCCAGGACCCCTGCCACTCCCGATCTGATCTGTCCAGCTAGAGCGCCCCGTTCCACCAACAACGCAGGCCACAGAATAAACCCTAGGCTCGGCTCGGCTTATTTAGGCCCGGCTTCGGCTGTCCCGGGGCTTGAAGCCGGGTCGGAACACCACTAAACTGTTTGGACTCGTCGAAAAACTATAGTCCCTTCTGGTGTTGTTTTGGTGTAGTCTCACTGTCGAACTGGATTGGGTGAGGGACGTTGCCAAAAACACCAAACGAAAGTGAAAAAAAGCAAGCGCGTACCAGTTTCACCACATCGCCGCTGTTAAGGCTGTGTCTTGTTCTGCTCGTTTCACTTTCTGGCTTCATCATGCTCTCGTTCCACCCGCCGCCGCATCATGCCCTCATGTCATTCGTCATTTGCTTTCCGCATTATTCATACTTGATCATTGTATTGGGTTCTCACTTCGCTCGCTCGCTGCACTTGCTCGACGGCCTGCCCTCGTTTGTGTCCATAATCCTGTGTGCAATGTCATCTCCCATCAATTTCCTGCTAACCTCTGTCTCGTAGAGTCGCAGGTTGAGAATTAAAATCTCAATGGCATACTACCATTTAGTCCCTGCGGTACTCTGCACTACTGTACGTGCATGCCATCATGATTCATCACTGTGTTTTTTCCAAAATGTATCTTCAAGTTTGCGTTTACACTGGATGTATACTAGTTTTGGGTTAATAGTCCTGTTTCGATGTACTATTATGGTTGCATGGCTTCGAACTGTCATGAAATGAAATCGTAATTGAGTAGGGTTAATAACAGAGTTCAATAGACTGAGATACCATTTTCTAGCATAATCACCTCAGACCTCGCGCCACAACCTCAAGACCTACTCATCTGTTCATTGAAACATCCCCATTGCCTCCCAATAATCCACCCACTGTGCAGCATCTGCCGAAGATAGCGACTTCAGTTCGTTCACCGTTGGACTGACGCGTTCGGCTACGGCAGTGGTGAATAAAGTCATGCCACCCGCTTCGGAGCCCATCTCTCCGGACGCCCTGATCGCGATGTCTGATTGAGTCATGGAACGCATGAAGTTGAGAAGCTTGATAGCAGGCTGTAATCGAAGAATAGATTGGAAACATTCTGGCCAGCTATCGGGATACACGTACGATGCGTTCCATGGTCTCATCGCTCAAGTCCTTGGCACTCGATTCGAGCTTTTCGAGCCACTCTGCGAATGGCACAAGAGGTAGCGGGTAACTTGTTACTTTACGCTCAACTAGGGCGTCCGCAATGGGCTGCATCAACGTCTTCCACGCAGTCGGTCTCGGATGCACCAGATTCACCGCGATGGTAGGTTCTTCTTCCGCGAAAGCTACATCAAGAATAGCATTTGATACGGCGTGGGGAGGGATCCAAGACACAAACTAAAAAACGCATGTCACGAATAGATACCCTCGATAGTGATGGACTTACTCCTTTAGCTTCGGGAAGTGCGCCCAGACTAACACTTGATTTGACGATGATCGGTAGCCAGTTTGTCGTGGTCCAAGCTCCCCGCGGGGGTCCTCCTGATACTTGCCCAATTCTGAATGATGATGCTGGTAACTTGCTGTTGACGAGAACCTTGATGGAAACTGTATTCGTAGAATCCACGCCCCACAAAGTAGCTTGTGACTTACCCTTTCCGAAACATATTTGCTCGCACCGTAGCCAAGACCTACTGCGACTCCTGCGTCGTATTCCACTTCTTCAGGGACTGGTCCTTTCGCTTTATCCCAACTTTGAGCAGACGAGATGGAAGACGCGAACATGAAACGCGGCTGTGGATGACGCGGAGAAGATAATGCCAAGTCTATGAGATTCCGCATTCCCCGCACATGAGTGTCGAATGACGAGAGCGCCAGGTTAAAGTCAAGTCGCCAAGCGTTGTGAATGATGACAGTGACAGACGTGCAGATCTACGTTATCTTAGTTGATTCGGTGACACTGAAAATGACGCAAACCTTTTGATATAACTCCTTATCCAGACCTAGGTGGTCGTCGGATGTATCAGTTTCTACATACACTAGTTTGTCGGATTGAAGCGAGGTAAATTCTAAACCGCGATCTTTGAACGAGTTTTCCTGTCGTTGTTGTATGGATGCCCCCTTTGACGGGCGATTGAAGGCATATACCACAGACACGTCCTCACGCTGGAGTAGATCTGCAAGCAGGTATGAGCCAAGGCCACCCGTAGACCCGGTCAGGGCGACCACATGATCGCTGTGGCTGCACCCATTAACTAGAGTAGTGTTGGGCTTTATGACAGAGTTCCCTAATCCGACTGAATACCTCTCGATCATGTTCTCGATATCAGCCTTGACGTCGACGGTATTTGTACCATTTCGCTGCAATACTGCATTAATGACGCTTCTCGCGAGCCGGCGAATCGAAGGACTTGAAAATATGATGTTCTGGTCAATCCGCGATGCTGATTCCTGAAGGTCACAATCTGAAGATGAGCGGAGAGAGCTGATAATGCGGTTTTTGAGAAATGTCGCAGAGAGACTAGATGCACGGAGTAAGCAGAGCACTAGCCTTTGTTGGTTTCGACCCACCTATCAAAACCCTGAGTAAAAAGGTCCGCATCAGGATCAACGTCCTTGTCGGCGTTCACAGCAGCAGCGTGGACCTTGAGCCATCTCTCGACGTCTTCCGCAGTCCAGCTTGTAGGCAAAGGTATATCGATACCTACTCTAGTGCTGCCCTCGACCTTTTCATATCTGTCGCCCATGAAGTCTAGTTGACAAAGTGATGAATTAATATGCTCACAGGGTATTGATCTCCTCCTCATACAGCTTGACGGTTGCTTTCTTGATGACGGTCCCTTTTCCAGCTCGAAGCATGGGCTTCTCACTGTGTGTTACAAGGATCATTTCTTTGAAGATTCTGCTGAAGGCAGGAGCCTCCTTATTCGCTTCCTCTATGTCCGGCCTTCAAGAACTTCTTCAGACGCAACAGTAGCATGCGATCTTTTAGGGGACTTACCATACTTGGTTCCTAAACTCAGCAAGTTGTTTTTCGTCATCAACGTCAATTCTACACCCTGCTCGTGGCTCTATGAGGATTCCAACTTGATTGCGTCCACGTCCAAACATGACGGCACCAGTTACAGAGGGGTTGGCACAAATGATATTTTCCATGGGAGCCGGTACTGTCTTCTCCCCGGACGAGAGTATCAAAACGTCGTCAATCCTTCCTACGCTGCAAGGAAAATGTCAGAGAAAATGAATAACGCAAAATTCAGTCGTACATCTTCCACAAACCCTCTACGGTGGGATGCTTGATAAATACATCTGAAGTAGCATAGCCCTTGACGTCCGGAAGATTCTCTACTGATACTTGATGCGTCGGGGTTGTCTGCAAAAAAGTGTTTGACGCGTGTTCAAAGATCGACTCGGAGACGCACCAAAACTTGACATTCATATGTACCATCGTCCTGTGGAGCCCATCTGATCTTGGAATTGGGTCCGAATCGCACCCAGTCCCAAAACTTTTGATCGACCGAATTTCGGATATGATGAGTGCTGGAACCAAATTCTGTAGCGCCGTAGCCACAAGAAAGCTTGACCCCTGCATTCACCAGGATATTTCCTATCTTAGGCACGAGAGGACCGCCACCATAGAACTGCATTGGTTTCAACGCGAGTCATTCATTGTCACAGCATCGATAACAAACTTACAACACATTCGAGGGTCTTCAGAACATCGACGGCACTCGGCGAAAACACCCACTGTTCCAGAAAGGCAGGCACAACTACCAAAGTGTTCGGTTTCGTCTTGAGTATAGAGTCCAGGATGTTTTGCGAGTTGGGTACTACAGGAGTCGCCAAGGGATCGAGCAAGGATGTAGGCGGGTAAATAGACACACTGCTCAGGGCGGCGATAGGGGCGAGCAGCTGAAAATATATACCAAAGACATGAAATGATGGCAAAGACGCAGCACCGAGGCGAATAGGAGTGGGAAGGTTAGTGAGGTCGAAGATAGATGCTAACAGTACTCTATCTTAGCATTGTTCGCTGTGAAGATTTTTTACTGACTCACGCGTTAGGCACCAGTGGATGGCAGTCAAGTTACTTATTGGAATGGGTTTTGGGAAGCCAGTGCTGCCAGAGGAATGCAGGTAGAATAATACATCGTTCTCAGACGACGGCGGACCTAGGGAAGGGTACGGGACAATAGCCTCGTTGGGAGTACCACTAACGAGTGATGGGTACAGGTGTTTCAGCGCCGGAATCTCGTCAATCTGCAGCTGGCTTGTTTGAGTGGCAGACGCAAGACCCGCTTCGACTCCGTCGATTAGGGAAGCGAGAGAGTGCCGAGTGGTGATCAGACGACGGCATCTAGTTTTCTGCATCATGCTCGTGACTGCCGCCGCTGAATTACGGGGGGACATAGGGAACGGCTTGAAAACAGTGATCAGAAACCCAATCATTCAGAAAATCTATGTACACACAACCAGCCCAGCGAAGATTATGCCCATGAATATTGTCTGGTAAAGAAGGGTGTCGGAGTTCGCGATGAGGGCGACCACTTCTTTGTCTGCGCCTGCGGAGGCTGGTCTAATTGCCTGGGAGGCCCGATGACAAGCTCGATAGAAGTCTGAATGAGAGATAGAGACCAGGTCATTGCTGTCGGGTTTGTCGTAGACAAAGAAAGGGACGTCCGAGTTATGTTGCGCATTGAATTCAACCAATTGTGGGAGGGACAGAGATCCATCGAGGGGAGGGTAATTGACATGACCTCGATGACATGAAGCGACCATGATTTGGATGATTGTAGACACTTGGGCTGACTGTTTATACGAGATATGTAAGGCTTGATATGAGTTCGGCAGGGAATTGCGAACGAAACGAGATATCAGACGTGTCAGCAAGTAACACGAAGAGTGTTAGAACAAGGCTAGAGAAGAGGACTTTTGGAGGAGCTTTCGATCGTTCTTGGAGCGGGGATCTCACTGTAAGATTTGCTGTAGGTATGAGTGTACATGCACAGTATATATATGTTTTTGAGTTATCGGTGAAGAAACGGGAATCGTGAAATCTAAGCACAAGGTCAGATAACGAAATGGTAAAAGAGAAATGAAAGGAATGTATCCACGTAATTTGGATGCGAAGAGTGCAACTCTTCGCATGAAAATCGGACGACCTCGAACGTATGGTCCGTTCGAGTGTCTCCGTTTTTGAAGTATGGTCAGCGCGTAGAGGATAGGCCATCCTTACAGATATCAAGTGCACGAATGAGTGGTCATTTTCGAGCGGTATGAGAAAAACCTCACTGGAAATTACTGGGAAAGCCGCCTATATTCCTACAGACGGGCCCACATGACCGGGGGCGGCGTAGTTGATGTCGGATGGCGATCGAGGATGAGATAGTCTACTGTGGAGATAACCCACACGTTTGGCATGTCTGCCAAAATGCCTTGTAGATGGCATGTACTTAAGAAAACTGAAAGTGAAAAAAGCAAGCGAGAACAAGCGCTACGGTATCGTCTCTGCACGGAGACGCTCAAACCCCTTTTCGGCTCGGACTCGGAAACGACCACCGGGGCCCTTGATTCCGTACCACCACCATGGACGGAAATTCCCACGCATAAAAATGCACGGGCAAGGTCGAGCCGTCGCAG